TAAAGGAATCTAAAGAGGTATTAAAGAATTCTTTATAGGTAAGATATTTATTAGTAAATCCTATAGGCTTATATAGATCCTTTAGCTTTTTCTAAGCTTTAAATCCTAATTTAGAATCTTTTATAACCCTTAGAGGGCTATCCTTATAGAAAAGCTTTATATAGGCAAAAGCCTTAGAATTAGCCTTTATCTAAGTAGTAGTAGTAGGTACTATATCTAGAAAGTAGATATCTTTACTAATAAGTAAAGCCTTAAACCTAGTTGCCTAGGTAGAGTAATTCTAGCTGCTAGAAAGTGTAGGTATAGTAACTTTATCTATCTTTTTCTTATTTTATAGGTATCTTATAGAATTAGCTTAGAATTAATCGTTATAGTGGTTAGATAGAGATAGGGTTAGTATTGTTAGATTTGTGTTAAAAAGAGGATTTAAATAGTAGTAAAAGGTATTTGTTTAGATAAAGGTTAGTAATATTATAAGGATAAAGAAGATCTAGGTAGTATAGGTAGATATCTAGAGATTAACTCTAATAGATATCTTAGAAAGATATAAAGAAAAAAGTCTTATCTAGTCTTTATATTATAAAAGCTAGGCTTATAACTAATAAGAAATAATAGGTAGATTAGTAGGTTAACTAGATAGATAAGTAAATAGATAGGTAGAAAGATAGGTGTAGTTTTATTATGCTTAGAAGGCATAGAGAACTTAAATTCCTTAAGGGGATCTTCTCTCTATATATAATTAACTAACTTCTATATTTCTAGTAATATATATATTAACCTTTATATTATATTATACTTATTATACTATTATATAGATTTAAAACCTTATATTGTTATAGCTTGTTTTAAGCTAGTTACAGCCTGTTGCACTACTTGTTACAGCTTGTTACAGCATAATACGGTCTGTTTAATATCTAGTTTTATTTAAGTAGATATTTCTATTTTTAGTACCCTAAAGTAAATCTAGTTACTATTTATATATATCTACTTTTTATACTTCTTAGAGATAGAGTACTAGGGAGTAAATCTCTATAGGTCTATATCTAGAAGTAAAGGTTATATTAGATATCTTATATATATATAGTAGTGTTACTTTAAGGTTATAAATAAGGTTAAATTTAAGGTTATAATTTAAGGTTATAATTTATATAAGCTTTTATATCTAAGTAGTAATACCTCTCTTAGAGCTAATAGTATTTTAGTTACTATACTTAAAGCAGCCTAGCTATACTTATATTACTATATTACCTACTTATACTAAAGCTACCTAAGGCTAAAGTATTACCCCCTCCCCTTTTAATAAGTAAAGACTATAATAATCCCTAAGCCTAACTATAATATAAGCACTATAAAAAGATAAAGACCTATCTTTTTACTTTTTACCCTTAGTAAAGGTCTTAAGTAACTTATTACCTAAAGGCTAGCCTAGACTTATATCTAATAAGGGGTTTTATATCTCTAAGTTATAGGCACCCTCTCTAAACGCTTTACTATTAATATTATTATTACCCTTATATATAATATAAAAGTAGCTTTTACTTATAAAGAAGTAGCTACCTTAGTTACTTATAATATTTAAAGGGCTTTTAATACTACTTTACTAGACGTACTAAACTTCTAGCTTTAAGAATAGGGGTAGCCCCTTAACCTTATTAAGTAGGTAAGACACTTTACTAGCCTCTACTAGGCCTATATTTACTATAAAAGGATACTAACCTTTATAGCTTTACTTATATATAGCCTCTTATAAGGATCCTTTATCTTTTTAATCTTTTATTTTTTATATACTATACTTATTTATATAATAAGCCTTACTTTTACTTAGTTTAGGTATACTAATAACTATAGTATTTTATATATAGGTAAAACACTATAGTAAATAATAGTAGTAGTATAGGCTATCCTTAATAAAACACTTAAATATAGTGCCTACTAAGGTATTACCTTTAACCTTACTAAGACTAAAGTTATATACTTTAGCTACTAAATTAATAAGGACCCCCTTATACCTATAAGGTATAAATAAAGATATATTACTTCTAAGCTAGCTATAAGATAGCTTAAAATCTAGCTTAACTAGTTACTTTTATATAAGTCTTATATTAAGACTTATACTACTAAGGTATAGTTAGTAGTAAGACACCTAAGAGGCCTTAATAAGGTCTATAGAGGCGCCTTCTTAGCTACTATATAAAAAGCGCTTTATATAATTATTATACTAAAGGCTTTATATATAGTAAAAGTCTAGTATTTAGGCCTAGATAAGGCTACTACTAAGAAGTCTAATAGTAGCTTTACCTAAGTATAATATAGCCTAAAAGACTAGCTATTAAAGATTTAAGTAGCTATTAATATAAGTATTTATAGCTACTTACTAGTATAGTAGACTACACTACTAGCTACCTTATATTAAGAATTTAGTATCTTACTAGTTAAACTTTTACTAAATACTTATTAACTTTACTACTTTCTCTAATTAAGGACCTTTAACTTATACTACCTATTTACTTAATATACTATAACCTATAAGAACTAAAGCTTTAAAAGTATTACTTTTTACCTTATTATCCTTATAGACACTACTAGTATACTACTTATATTCTTATAACCTTTTCTCTACTTAAGGCTTTACCTTACTATATAATAAGAAAAGTTAGCTAAAAAAGAGGCTACTACTACTTACTTAGCCTAAGTTAAATCCCTCTTACTTACTTATATTTTAGCTTATATAAATAGCTTATAAATATTAGAATTTAACACTAAATATAGCTATATAGTCTACTATAATAACACTTTAGTCTATATTAACTATTATAAACTACTAAATACTAAGGTGTATAACACTAAGGCTAAGGGGGCTACTACTAGGCTTATAGTAATACTAAAAGTTATATTAGCTTTACCTAACACTATAGGTATCTTAGTCTGCCTAAATAACTATATAGTTATTTAATACCTTAATAGTGCCCCCCTTAGTTCCTTATAGCCTACTTTCCTTAAGTTTTAGTGCCTAGTTAGCCTTAGCTTAATCCTAGTAGATATATAATAGTCTTTAGGGTATATAAATATCTAAGGTAATAATATAGTAGATTACCTTACTAAGTGTAACTTTACTATAAAACCCTTAAACTTATATTTCTACTTACTTATAATTAGCTATATTAAGCACTAAGTCTACTTTAATATTACTTATACTTTCTCTTAGTAGTAGTATTTTATATACCCCTCTTATTACTAAGACACTAGGCTTTAGACCCTTAATACCTCCCTTAGGCCTATACTTAAGCTTTACCTCCCCTATAAAGTACTTTACTATCTCCTTATAGCCTAAATAGGCTATAAAGATTTTATAGCTTATTATAACTACTTTATTTACCTTAATATAAAGCGTTACTACTACTATAAGTTCTTAAAAAGCCTAAAATATCTAATTTACTATTACTATATAAAGCCTAAGTTATTTTAGTTTAGTATAAGTATATAAATTAGTAAGAATTAGGCTACTTTTATTAAAATAATACTAAAAAATAATATATTTACTTAGGCCTTTAGTAAATAGTAAGACTAGCTAGCTACCTTTTAGTTAACTTTATAAAAAAACCTAGTAGTATATAACCTTATAGCTATCTCTAGCTAAGAGATACCTCTTAATTTAATTTAGTACTATTATAAGTTACCTCTAACTATTAGCTAGCTAAGGTCCTCCCTTATATATATACTTCTCTCTATATCTTATACTCTCCTTATATCTCTTTATATCTCCCTACTGCTTAGGACGCTCTTACCTTATAATATATACTTACCCTTACGACCTAGAACACCTACTATCTCCCCCCTCCTACTAGATAATAACTTCTCTATATAGTAATTACCTAGTGCTTACTACTTTAGATATATCTTTAGGAGAGAAATACTAATTTTTAGGCGTATAATAAGGGATTTATACTGTTAAGCGGGGACGTTGTTCTGCCTAAGATCCCCTGGCAGGGGGACCTTGGGCTATAGCAGGAAAGATAGATTAGCAGCGGGCGCCTTGTGCCACGTAGATTGGACCTGTTAGGCGTTTAAATAATATCATCATCATCATCATCATCAGCAGGTTGGCCTCAGACGGCGAAGACTTCAAAGCCTGCAATACAACGGACCCAACCCTTGCAGAGAAACGTGCAACCCCGGTAGGCCCGCCCTAATGGAGATATTTCACGGACGTAATACGGCCCCTCTTGGTCTTCCGCACGGGCTCCATGGCAGGCGAGCCGCGAAAGGAAAGAAAAAAGTCTTCGACGGCTTGTAGTGTTGCCGCAGTGGCTAGTGGCGGGTTTTGCTCGGCTTTGCGAGAAGAAAAATTCTTTTGCATTCATCTGAATGTCCTTGGCAATCCACCGTTTTACATAAGAGTTCTTCGCTTATGTTTCTGGATCGAGCAAAAGGCTCCGCAAGGAACCGCCGGACTGATCTCTTAGCGCGGCTCAAACGAGCAATGCGAAGCTTCTTTTACGGCATCGAAACTTGGTCAATACGCCCTCCGCAATATCCCCCATGAAGGACAGTCCAAAGAAGGCCCTGTAAGAGACCACGCAATTCAGAAATTACTGGGCCTTTTGACATCAATGACACAAAACTATTAGATCTTATCAGCGTAGAAATGCGTTCCCCCCGGTATTTTGCAGACCCGTACGGAATTCTTGTTATCTGTCGCCCGTGGGGGCGAGATCATTCTGTGGAGGAGGCCCGGCTTCCACCGGGCAAGCTACTGACGACAGCCTCTTTTCAACGATGCCTCCAGTCCATCCACGGCCATGTGGAACCTGATTCATCTGACTCGTACCTTGGGATGACTGTTAAAAAGTAAGTAACGTCAGACGCGTCTTGTCTGTCTGCCTCCTCGAGTGCTTCGTTTACTCGTTGGCTTCTTTACCTCCCCAAACTCTTCTCGATCCAACGTCGTCCACCAATCAGTTTCCAAACTCTGCCGCGGTTGAATCGAGCCTCCTCCCACCATGTCCAACGGTACCTCCACCACGATCAGCTCTGGTCACCACAAGGAGCCCAAGAGCAAAGATAGCTCGGATGCCGAGATGGGCCAGTCTCCTGATCCTTGGCCCGCGAACGACAACACCATGCTCGGCGAGACGAGCGATGAGATGAATGACGCTCGCCTGAAGCAGATCGCGGCTCAGGGCAGCGCTCACTTCCACCGCTTGGGCTGGAAGCGCCTGGCCATTGTGACCATCGTGGAAGCTGTCGCGCTCGGTGCGCTCAGCTTGCCTTCCGCCTATCACACACTCGGCATGTTCCCTGGTGTTTTCCTTACCATCACCATTGGGATGCTCTCCATCTTCACCAGCTACCTCGTTGGTCAAGTCAAGCTGGCCCACCATCACGTTGCCAACTACGCCGAAGCCGGCAGACTCTTGTTTGGCCGTTACGGACGTGTCGGATACGAATTGTTCGGAGCCGCTCTTGTCCTCGAGCTTGTCATGGTTGTGGGGTCGCACGCCCTTACCGGAAGCATCGCACTGCTAGATATCAATGGCGGCCATGTCTGCTCCATTGTATTCTCCGCCGTGTCGGCCATCATCCTCCTGATCCTCGCCATCCCGCCCTCCTTCACCGAAGTAGCTATCCTCGGTTACATCGACTTCGTCTCCATCGTCGCTGCCATTGGAATCACCGTCATCGCCACGGGGATTCAGGCCGACCATGCTCCGGGCGGTCTTTCGGCTGTCGAATGGTCTGCTTGGCCCAAGGAAGGGGTTTCCTTCTCCGAGGCCTTTGTTGCCGTCAGCAACATCATCTTCGCCTTCAGTTTTGCCATTGGTCAATTCTCTTTCATGGATGAGATGCATACCCCTACCGATTACATGAAGTCCATGTGGGCGTCGGGCGTAATCCAGATCATCATCTACACAGTCACCGGCGCCCTGTGCTACGCTTTCATCGGTCCCTCGGTCCAGTCGCCGGCTCTTCTCTCGGCCGGACCTCTGATTTCCAAGATTGCCTTTGGAGTTGCCATCCCGGTCATCTTCATCTCCGGTTCGATCAACTCGACTGTTGCCCTCCGATACATCCACGGCCGCATGTACAAGAACTCGCATCTCAAGTATATCAACACCCCAATGGGCTGGGCCAGCTGGATCATCCTCGTTGTAATCTTCACCATCGTCGCTTGGGTCATTGCCGAGGCCATTCCCATCTTCTCCGACCTGCTTTCACTAGCTTCGGCCCTGTTCGTTTCGGGCTTCTCGTTCTACATCCCTGCCATCATGTGGTTTGCAATCCTCTGCAAGGGCAAGTGGTTCGCCCGCGAGAACATCCTCATCAGCCTTGGAAGTATTCTGGCCTTCATTGTCGGCGCTGTGGTTTTGGTTGCCGGCACCTACTCGACGATTGTTGATATTGTAAGTTCCAGCTTAATCCCTGACACCAGTCCCTCGTTTACTAACCAATGGATGCCAGATTGACGAAACAACCACTGGCAGTGCTCATAAGCCATTTGCTTGCCGATCTTAGATTGTGGCATATTGTATATTATACTTGATTACTAGTTCTGGAGGGTCTTTTTGGACTGATCATGAGATACCCATTGTCAAAATCATTGCTTGCAGGAGAGCAACGTGGATGTGCTTCGTCTATGTATACGGTGACAGGCGCAGGTTCGAAGTCATTGCGTTGCAATGAGGACTTGTGGAGGTATTTCGGCAGCACTCTGAGAGGCTAATGCCGGACGTTCATCAACGTCTATCTTCAAGGCACACCTTGGTAGTGTTACGTGGCACACTGTCGCTCAGCATGAGTCAGCGGTGAGCCAGTCGGTATGTAGCACCTCAGCCGCACCTGTAACGAGTGTCATTCTGGCACGAGTGAGTTCCCCGGATTTCTTATTGTGGGATCAGCTCGAGACCGGTTATGTCAGCTTGGGGGTTGGAATTGAGCTAACTGATTGGGAACCGGCGTCTAGTTCCCATCTGGCCATGGCTTTGGCCTCGCATACACCTCACCGACTCAAATCTCAGTCAAATCCCCTAGTGAGTTGTCCTTCGGCCTTCATCCGTCTCAAAACGTGCCTGAAGCCTGTTAGGCATATGATCCATGAACCCCCACCTCCACATTCCTCCGAGACCGAACCTCGGTTGGCGTCGGCACCACGCTAAAACCCGACGCGGCGCCAACGTGACAATCCAACGGGGCTAGATTTCAAGCATCTCCAGGTCCGACAAAACTCTACGCGATTACTTATCACATTGACCTTATAAGTAACAGTGTAGCTTCGTCCAATATTTGTGTGATAAGAGCAGGGGCAGTCCGGCATATCAGCTGAAAATAGTACCGAACATGTCCGACTCAGCGATGGCCGCCACGCTGCAGGAGCAGGTCGCGGTAGACGACTTGGGTTCAGACCAGTTCGTCAGTCGCGCGAACCCAGCCCGTATGGGAAACGCGGCAAACATCGCCTACGGAGGTTGCACCATCGGCATCGGTGTCCAGGCAGCATGCAGTACCGTGCCGGCGAACTACCTCCTCTACTCGACCACGGGCAACTACTTGGGCCCGGCCTTGACGGACCGCAAACTCAAATGTTCGGTCCGCAGAGTCCGCGACACAAGGACCTTCGCCACCCGGCTCGTCGAGATCAGCCAAGACCAAGACGACGGCAAGTCGAGGTTGTGCATGATCATGCTTGCCGACTTCCAAGTGAAGGAGGAGAAGTCTCTTTTCGTATACTCAGCACCGCCATCCATGTCCTATTCGTCCCCCGAGAAGTGCCCCGCCGTGGAGGAGCGGACAAAAGACTTGGTGCGAAGGGGAATCGTGACAGAAAACATGGTCAAGCTATACATGGCTTCTTTCGGTTTAAACGAGCGCTTCTTGGAGACCCGTGGCGTACCAGAGACCGTTGGCCCGAACAACCTCTTGGGCATCGCAAAGAAGGCAAAGACGCCCCAGGACGACCTGCACCTCACTTCCAAGACATCTGCCGATTGGTTCCGTTGTCGGCATTCCATGGGACGTCTCCAGGACCAGCTTGCTGGTCTTGCTTTTGTCTTGGACGGGGCTCTGTCTTTCGTTCCCCTGACACACAGCAACATGTTCCTTGACGACGCAGGCCCTTGCTCTTCGCTCGACTTTGCCCTGAGATTCTTCACGGGTGATGTCGACATGGCAAAGTGGCACATGAGAGAGATGAAGACCATCACAGGCAACGACGGGCGGACCTATACCGAAGCTCGGCTCTGGGATAGAGAGGGGCATATGGTTGCAATCATGAATCAGCAGTCCATCATGCGGCCCCCGAAAGGGTTGACTCGAGCATCACTTTGAGATTGCCGTTATGTTTATGCTTTATCATGCGTTTACCGACTTTGTTCTGTAATGAATGTTTAGGGGAGACCTTCCTAGACTCATCGGATGACAACGATAATGTAGAGAGATGCTATCCAACGCATATAGAACTTGTATGCTATTCACAGTCTCCGGTTTCAGGTTGTTCGATGTTTTGAGAACAGCTCCGATTAGATTTAGACATTGATTGAGGGGGCATACCGACCTCTGGAACCTGTGCAGACTTACAAGACCATGTGATTGAATTTGATCGGGCTGTGAAAGAGAAGTCAAGTCTGAATGCAATCTAGCGTTCCTCCAATTGGACTACTTTATTGGGAAGCAACACGCCCCTGCCGTGAAGGAGCCTTGAATTTAGTGCCTTGGGAGATACCCGTTGCCATGATACTACAAAGGATACCTGATGTACTGACATATTGCATGGTCACATGGCAGCCGAGACTATACTGCCTAGAAGGCAAAATGTATTATGAGTTTGTCCCCTGCCCATATTACCTATGTATCATGTTCGTACATGCCTTGGCGTCGTCAAACCATGCACCCCATATACTTTTCCAATCCCGGACTCCCTTGACCTCAAACGCCAACACACACACACACACACACTCTCTCTCTCTCTCTCTCCCTCCCTCCCCCTCTCTCTCACACACACACTCTCTCCCCCCCTCTCTCTCCCCCCCACCCCTCCCCCCTCTCTCTCTGTGAAGCCTGTAGTGGCTTCACACTTTCGTTAAAACATTATACGTTAAACAATCCTCCCCCATTACATAAGGCGGGAAGATGCAAGGAAAGAAACACATCCAAAAGACATGTCGAGTCATGAAGTCCTGAACACAGGCAAGGCTCACTTAGTCGGACTTGCCACAGGTACCGAAGCCGGCCTGGCATCCTGTACCGCAGTGATCCGTCGTGGCGCCGCACCAGCCGTACTGGGAGCAGCACGTCGCGCCAGGCTCCTGGATGCACGACGTGCCTCCTTGAGTGGTACCACAGCGGCCGTTGGTGCTCAATGGCGGAGGCAGCGGCGTGCCGGTGGTCGCCGCTGCGGAGCTTGTGCGGGACGAGGTGGCGACGGTCGCGGGAGCGGAAGACGACCAAGTCGAAGGCCTGGCTGGCGTTATCTGACAGTTCCCATAGAGGGGCTGGCACGCCGCCCCGCAGTGGTCGGCGGTGTTTCCGCACCAGCCGGCAGCTGAACAGCAGGTCGCGCCGGGCTCGCTGATGCAGGTGGTGCTGCCGAAGTTGGGTCCGCAACGACCGTCCTTGGACGGGCTCAGACTGCCGGTGGGACTAGTCACGCCGGATGTGCTGGTAGTGGTGCGGGAGGAGGTGACGGTGCTTCCGGTGCTGCTTGGGGGCGGCGTGTTCCCGACGGAGCGGTACCAATTCTCTGCGGGGTCATTGAGGCATTCGCCGACGGTGACAGAACGGAATCCATTACGAAAGAGGGACTCGAGCATGTGGTCGGTCAGGTTGTATACAGTCTGATAGACGGGGTCATGCTCGATCTGGAGCCACTTGGTGGTCGCGGGAGACATGCCCTCAACCTTGCTGTCCCAGATGTCCTTGGAGGTTTCGATCAGGGCGGGACTGTCGTGCAGGTAACCCTCGGTGTCGAGGTTGAAGTATGTGATGTGGTAACCGAGGTCATTCAGGTAGCCCTCACAGGTGGCATCGCAGGCCGAGTAAGGGGGCCTGTAAGGCATATTAGCTTGATGACAATATCGCAGAGTAGGCATGCCAGTTTACCTCATGTAAGTGGGGAAGTAGCCCAGGAGGTCGGCGAACGCAATCTCGTTGTATACCATCTGGTTACGAAACTTCTCCGCGCTCACGGTTGTGAGTCGCTGGTGAGACCAGGTGTGGCTGGCAATCTGATGGCCTTCGGCAACCATGCGCTGTGGCAGAGTTAATCAACGTACGTGAACGGTTATAGAAGCAGCAGCAAGCAAACCTTGATGAGGGCCGGCCATGGGGTGGCCGGGTCATTGATCTTGCCCTTGCCCAAGTTGTTACCCGTAATGTAGAAGGTAGCCTTGGCATTGTACGCCTATATACCCATTAGCACAGATCATCAACTGCCAGTTGCAGGGTGCGTACCTTGAGCTTGTTCAAGAGATCCTCGGTGTAGATGTACGGCCCGTCATCAAAGGTGAGCGCGATGTCGCCGTACTGCTCACAGTGATAGATGGCCTGGCCATATGGAACCGCTCCGATCTTGGGCCGGGCAATATTAGCCGTGTCCGGCCCAGCGGGACGGATGTTGGCATCACATGCCGGGCCGTACTCAATCATGCAGGACGGCGCGGAGCAGTAGAGGTACCCTTGGCCACACCATCTGTCTCAACGTTAGTATTCTGTAGTCCTGAAGCACACAAGCCAAATGCAACAACGTACCCCGCACTGGAACAGCAGTACCCGTCATCGCAGACGTGATTGTCGAAGTTGGGGCCGCAACGGCCAACGGACTGACGCTTCTCCAACTCGGAAGCCTCACGAACAGGCTCAATATGGGCGGCGCGGCGCTTAACTTGGCGACGGGCTGAAGTGAAATCCTGCAGAGCCTGTCTTCCCGCCATAATGTTGGGGAGTGGCAGCCCATCGCCGCCGTGAGCGCCGTGAGCGGCAGCCAGACCCCAGCTGGCAGCGAGAGCAAAGGTGGCGAGAAGCATGGTGATCGAAAGGGCAGCAAAAGAAGACCAATGTATGCACAAGGAGGATGTGAGTGTTATCAAACGAACGCTTGTCCCCCGGGCCAAAGCAAAAGGAGCTTAACGAGTGGAATATGGCAGGGCAAGACTAAATCAAGAAGAGGCCGAGCCAAATAGGAACAGAGGTAACGACAGCAGCAGGCAGGGAAGAAGGCATGTACTGCTTTTGACGACTTACACTTGGGGGGGGGGGGGGGGGGGGGCAACAAGACGGACGGTACGGCTCGGGGCCGGGAAATTTGTGATATAACAGTGAGTTATGTCGATCGGCCAGTTACAGCTATACACAGCTGGGGACTATAAGCTGGAAATACGGCTCTGGCCAGGTGTGAGCGATGTGCTGCATGTCGGGCCAATCCACCAGTTGCCCCATCCATCTCAGATGGTGGAGTCTGGCTGTGGAGTAGCTAGCGGCGCAGATCAGTTCAGGCTTAGGGCAGCAGACATATTGGCCAGGCCATGTGATGCGCCAGGTGTTTGTAGCGGACAGACGTGCATGGAAAGACGTCCTGTACTGTCCGAAGTAGGGTGCCTCAGTGATCTGTCGTTTCCTGGCCGTCTTGGCCTCCTGTTCTCTCGGCCTCCAATACGAGCTCCAGAGGGCTACGAATCTTAGGCAGTGAGCGAAAAGCAACGACAGTGTGGCGCGGCAAGGAGACATGGGCTAGTTTCGAGCACAACAGCTGAACTATATTCAGAACGGCGAACGCTTGAAGCCGACAGCCGGGATTGGCTCCGCCATTCGGCCTGTGAGCCATTTGGCACGCCACTCGGCGTATAGAGTCCAATTCAGGCACGTCGACTAATTCAGGTATATCTAAGAAGCGATCCGTGACAGGCTGCTGTCTTGAAGGCACCAGAGCCCAGGAGCCTATACATGTGTGCCAAGGACCAGCGGCGCTGACATGATTGATCTCGTACATGACTCTATCGTTTGCCTGGTCTGGGAAGTGGTGTACGAAAGAAGCTCGATCGAGACATGAGTCGAAGACGAATGTGGCCGGGGATGGATTCCGAACCCGGGCGACGGTCAGCTTTTGCGGGGACGCTGGAGGGCATGAAGCATGAACTCCCGAAAAGAAACAATTGGTAATATAAGGACCCTGGTGTGAAAATTTTCCTTCCTGGTGCCGCATTGTTCCTTGCCTGGCGGTCGGTACCTTGCCTTTGCATGGCATCGCAGGTCTGTCGAGGAACAGCGCGGTGACTGACAATGGCGTGATGGGATTGAAGACTGCATGGTCCCAAGTTGGGCCTGTCACCCCGTCGACCCATGGGTTGACCGTTTCTTGACGAGTGGCAGTCACCAGTGTGGGCTGACTGCTGAAGACAGAGCCGATTCCGGTGATAATCTTCGGGTTCTCCGACTGTAGTCGTTCATTCCATGAAGGTGAGACTGTAAGGATGGTTGATGGCATGCATTCAGAGTTTGTATCAATGAGAGATCGAAGGGCTAGGTAGGTTGCTGTGACAGAGGCGTGAGGGCAGTGACGCGATATGAGAGTGAGAAAGTGGATGAGCGGACATGGTGAGAATGTGAGTGAGCGATCGAGCGTAATGAGCCGGGGAGGGGTGTGTATCTGCTCACCGAAGCGGCTTCTGACAATATGCATAAATTCAAAATACACACCATGTCACAATGGGTGGAAACACCCTGTCGCCCCTTTATCGTCATAAACCTCCATATCTGTTACCAACGGTAAGTTGTATGTTACCGAGCATAAGCAGAGAAATGCTACATCATACATGGCAAGCAGACAAGCGCCTAAGAGAAGGATTACTTACAGCATCTGCCACGTCTTATGGCCGCCCCTCGCCTGCCGAAATATTGGCTTGGCGTCCATTTCGATATGCGCCTAGGTGCCGTTGAAAGATGCCTATTCCCACCTGTAAGCATGTTGTACGTGTACTTCTTAGGTGCCCCCAGGATCGGTACATACCACCCAACAGCCGGTGGCAGCATCCAGGGGGCCCGGTGGTGCAAGCCTGTCCGTGATTTTCTCCGTCACTCTCCTCGAAGCAACCGGCCCATCGTTGCTGACTGCCTTGTGGAGACCACCGCCATCGTGTTCTCGACCGTGTCCTCTCTCCCTTCATGGTCCCAAAAAGGGGCATCGCGTCGGCAAAGGAACAGATGCCGGGCTGATGGCGACATCCACCGCTTTTGCAGGTACCTTTTAGGCATCCAAGTGCTCCAGTGTCGTGCAGACACGGGTTTGCCCAGACTTTCGGAGCAGCCAACCACATCCCCCGTTGCACTAAGTTGAAGTCTTCTGGTTTGCCTGCCACGTTTCTCTCATTCGCGCTTCACAAATCCATCGTGATTCCCGCTGGCACCACGAGGCAACTGCAAGCTTGCTATTGAAGGCTTGGGCCTCCTCCCTAAGGATTGCTCGCTTCGCTGGTTGCTGGTGGTCATCCACTCACACGCCCCCCGCGACGCACGGCTTATGCTGCATTACGACCCAGAAGGAGCTATGCGCATCTCGTCGTATTCGGTCGTTGTACGGATACACTAGCACAGAGCATCACGTACTCTTGGGTGGAAACGTTTCCTCTCATGGGTAAAAGAAGAAGGAAAGAAAAACCCCTGCCTCAGCTCCGTCGCCCGGCAGTTTCTTGTTCAGTCATGGGACTCGTGCCAAGAAAGCTGGAATATCTACCTAGCCATGACAATGGTATCAAGGGGGAACGGTGTCCCGGTAATACGGCTGAGGTGTCCCCCTTCGGTAAGTCCTCCCCGCTGGCATTGGCAGACCGTCACGTCATGGTTGAGACACCCCAGCCTCTTCCCAAGACATGCCTTTGCTTTGTCGAGGAAAGCGGGCGGTCGTGATGCATGATGTGTCTTGCTTGACTGCTTGCTAGGCTCTGGAAAGAGAATACCCGAGAACATTTTAATTTCATCCCACCAGCTGGATGGCAATATGCCGGCGAATCGCGTTAAGGCGTTCCAATGGCCCATTGATTCCCCGTCAGCTCCCCCAGAACTCCACCGAACTCCACCCCTGCACGAACTCTGCTGGATGAATGACTGTTTGTTGCGAAAGATTGATACCTCGGGCGCAGTTTACCAGAGGGGAGATGCATGCCTGCCTGTCCGGTAAGCTTCCCCAGGTGGACCTGAGAGCCCGCTCTCCGCCCCACTGTGATCCGGGGAATTCAAACCGTGGTCGCCCGGGAGAAGCGCGGTGATCCAAGACAATTCGCATCGTTGCGTGGCCGGTGGGCTACGATCCTACAAGCCCCCTTTTTGTTGGCCCAGATCTACGATACGATCCCTCTCCACGCGGCAAGGAAAACCGTTGCTGACTCAGGGGCCTAGTGTGTCGGAGTTTGAGCGCGATTAGGGTGAGAACGAGAGCGAGAAAAGCAAAGTGAAAGTGCGTGGGCGGGTTTGTGCGCCAGCTCGAAAGCCATCAGACTAGTCTAGGGAGGTACCTAGGGGTGTTAGTCATCATTTCGCTGCGCTAAAAACCCCTTGCTCAGGGGGGTGTTTAGCTCAACGCAATGACTAAGACACCCGGATAGTCTAGCGCCGACGGTGCTGGCACAGAGGCTTGGTCACCCCTGTTCGAACGCTCCTCGACGACCCGAACGGCCTTGATACGGTGTCCTTGGCAGCGAGTTCGTCTCTTCCTTACGGCGGAAGTCATGAAGCTCTCAACTGGTGAGAGAGATGCAACAAACAGAGGCATCTGGAAGGTAAGGGAGGCACAGCACAGCTAGTGTTATGCTTAGGTTCTCTGCATCCCTGGAAGTTGGGATGAACTCATGCCTGGATCCTTGGCCAAGACAGTTCGTCAAAGACACGTGCTGAAAGAGTTCAGCATGAGTGGCGAAGCGTTCGCCGCATAACCCACCGAATGCGTCGGTATTATATGCTTCATCGCGAAGTGGCCAGCTGCGAAAAGTTGGCTAAGACAGCAAAGCCATCGCTTCATCCGGTGCGGCCCTACAGAGAGCAACGCCTCGACTTCAGCTGCCATCTCGCAGCGCCACGATTTCTGTTTGTGGCATCGACTTCGCACAGCTTGCCGTGTTTCGCCGTCCGTCCGTTGCTCGTGAGCTGGAGGTGTGGCAGCCACACGTCGCGCCTCAGGCGTCCTTGGTGCATGAGACTCACTAATACGGTCCATACGCTAGGCGGTTTGTCGAGTCAGAGTCTGCCGTGAGTGGCCGATGGCACGTAGAAGGGCAAACTATCGACATCTTTGCTCGACATGTCTATCAATATTGATGCACAACGATGGAATGAATCCATAATGGCGTTTGCAGAGTATTCTGTTGACTAAATTGGATGCTTTAGGGAAGAGTGTATTATATGCTTTATGATGTACTTGGTATATATGCTTCATACGTCGTTTCATGGAGCCCACCACACCTATACATTACATTAAATTGAGAAAGAAAACAACCAAGGCGTCCAAAACAGCCACATGCGTTCCCAGCACGTCGAGAGATGTCACCATCCGCTCATCTCCAGTGCCGTCTGTACAAGATGTCTCCAGTATGTGCGAATTCTCCAGCTCTCTCGAGATATGTATGTGATAATGGCGATCGGTGGCCGTGTGCTGTGTGTCATGTGTGCAAAAAGTGAATGAACCAATCCCTAACCCCTCCTTTTTCTTTTTTCAGCCCGCCTCGCTCAGAAAACCCGCATGCTTCTCTCATCCCCACCACATTCGTCTGGCTGACGAGTCTAGTGTGCCCAGTTTTTTCTCCTTAGCCTTAAACAGGTGAAAACGCCATGTCAATAACTGAAAAAATTTAGTAAGAAAGCGAAGAAATCGACGGCCGCTAGGACGCCGACATCGTATCTCCAAGTGAGATTCGGGGGAGGCGAGCGGCTGCAAACCCTCGCATCCACAAGAAACAGTTCTTAAAGAGTGCCACGGCCGCCCTCGGCGTCCATTTTCTCGTCGTCTCCCCCCTTGATGACCTCGCGGGTCTTGCCCCACTTGAAGTCGTCGGAATACACGAGCGAGTAGCCGAGGATGATCATGTTGAGGAACGGCGACGTGATCAGGTGGAAGAAATAGCCGACAAAGTATTGCATGCGCTCGAGCGTGTTTCTCGGCAGCCAGATACCGATGCAGAAAGTGTAGATCTGCGACATGCCTCAGTCAGCAATCGTTGTCTCAGTTGGCGCGAGCCTCTCGGCCAAGGGAGAGGGGGAGAGAGATGTAACACAAGAGAGAGAACTTACGTATCGGAACAGGAGAAGGGCGAACAACGACATGAATACCGGATCTTTGACCAACTCGTCACCACGGCGGGCGAGGATAATGATCAAAGCGATGACGGCGGCCATGATGAAAGGAGTGATGAACCAGGTCATGACGGCGACGATGGACTGGAGACGCTCGATGGGGATGATGCCGGGGCGGAAGATCATGACGAACTCGTTGGAGATGGAGCCGAGAGCCCAACGCTTGCGCTGCGACAGGAAGACCTTCCAGTCCTGGGGCACGATGGTGAAGGCCTTGGCGCGAAGGGCCTGAGCGGTCTGGCGTTTGGGGAAGAGCGAGAAGATGATGCTGGCATGGATCGAGTCCTCGGAGTAGTTGCCCATGATATGCTGCGTCATAAGGTCGTTGGGCTTGGGGCAGTATCCGAAACGATTGCGGAGGACCTCGTCACCGAAGGTGGCCTCGTCAATCTTGATCAGCTGGCAACATCCAGGGAGGCAGTTGACCTTGCCGGTGATGCGGGACTGGAACATGCGGCGGAGGCCCTGCGTCTGGGAGTACTCGACTGACTGATACAGCGACCAGAGACCCCAGTTCTTGCCGTCGTAGTCGACACAGACGTGTCCGCATACACCGACTAGCTTGGGGTTCTTACGAATCTCCTTCAACATCTCCCAGATACAGTACTCATCGAAGACGGTGTCGGCATCCATACCGACCAGATACTCGACGTTCTCGAGGCCCTGTGAGACAAAGGCGTTGCCGAGATGCTCAAACAGCTCGTTGCTGAACATGGTCATGACGTTGGCGGAGCGCTTCTGGAAGTGGTACAGGAACGAACGAGCGAAGCACAGACTATCACGCTTGCCCTGGTTGTAACGCTTGCCGACGAAGAGATAGGGGATGCCCTTGTAGTAGCCGGTCTGGATCTTGGTCGGCATGAACAGGCCGTCGCGAGCGCGGTAGCCGTTCTCGAAAAAGCGCGTGGGGCCGGGCTCGAGGATGTCCTGGAGAAGGTATTCCTGGGTGGTCTTCTCCATGCCGGCGCCCTTGACGTTGCCGTCGACGACGATGAAGATCATGCGCGGGTGTTCGTCAATATTCTTCTGCGCGACAAGGGAGTCCAGTGACCGCGTGAGCTCCTCAAACGTCTCGTTGTAGCAGGGAAGCAGCATGACCATCTTCTCAGGCGTTTCCGGCACCTTCTCCTTACGGCGGAAGCAGAAGAAGATGATCTTGAAGAGAAAGTGGCCGAGGATGAAGATGATCATGATGAACTGGAGAACGGTGTTGGAGCTGAGCAGAACCATGAAGAAGTAGTGGGCGACGTGGTACGTGAACGACACGTAGATGAGGGCAGCGTTAATGCAGAGCAGGCCGATGAGCAGACACCACTTCTGGAACTTCAACAGAGACTTTGATACCGTCTTCAGCTCCGAGTCAGAGTCCCATCTCGGTTTTGCCTCCTCTTGAGTAACAGACGACACAAAGGAGGCAGCGGATTCGCCACCACGAGATTGCCATGAGTGATGGCCAGAGCCTGGTGTGTTGGCACCGAAGGGCAGGTCTTCGACGTTGAAGCCAACGACAGACTACAAAGTCAGCACGAAGACAACGTAGGGAAGAGGATACTTCAACTTACCGAGCCCTGCGACTGGATTCTAGAACCAAAGGGTTGCGGGATAGAAAGGCTGCGATGGCTGCGAGCCGGGGTAGATACCCCCGAGAGGGGAGACAACGGAGGACGGCTGCTCTCCGCCATGGGAGGCTGAGAGGGAGGCGGGCGCATGGCGATTATTGAAGTATATGGATGGGAGTGAGAGGTGAGAGATTCCAACTGAAGGACCTCGACAACGACAGATAAGTATCCAGCAGACGCAACGAAGAGCGAGAGACGGTGGGCGAGAAGGGGGGATGGGAGATGCCAGGGATCTAATCAAGATCCTGAGAGTCGGGCCAACAACAAAACGAATGTGATGACTGCCGGAGGCAACAGAGTGAAGTTCCTGCCGAGGGAGGAGGGACTGAGGAGGGGAGAGAGGAGCGGAGGATGAATCTTTATTCCTGATGGAAGGGTTGACAGAATAAAAAGAGGGCCGGCATGGGGTAATAGAGGGTTGGATCAGCGCGGCGGACCTGGGCGCGAATTCGGAGCTAGCCTCACGAGGCGGAGGGTCCGACCAGCTGTCTGAGTCGGAACCAAAGCTTTTCTCAAGGTCAGGCAGGCAGGCAGACTAGGCCGTCGGAAGCTCGCTCGGGGGTGGGAAGGGTCCTCCAGGGTCCGCCGCCTTCAACAGATTGGACTTGCTTTCTGACGGGAACGACATGTGTTGATGTCTCGCACGTACGAACTATTGCCTACGTGCAGTTCTGGACTGGGTGGACAACGACAGATACACGCCTGGCATGGCGACAATGCCAGGACATCTGGCGTCAGCCGGGCAAGCATCATATGTGGGAGAGGCGAGCTCTTGCCCACTCAACCGGCCACGAGGTACATTCGAACGCCATCGGGTACCATGTCAGGAGGGTTTAAGAAAGGTCCAAAAGAAGCTTGGCCAGTCATTCCCGTTGTTGCCAAACGTGTGTGTGGTTGGCAAGTGGAGATGAGACAGCAAGCCCATGCTCGGGGGGCGGGAAGGGGGGGGGGGGAGAGAGAGGACTTCAGCAACACACGGAGGCGACTGCAGGTGAATGGATGGTTGACGGACTACGGTACGTCTGGCTGATGGCCGTTCACGCCCCCCCTCCCCCGGATTTGATGCCGGCCGCTTGGCATATGGCTATTCAACCCTCGTTGTTTAGCAGATTCGGTCGAGTGCGAGGACACCATGATGGCTAGAGACAAACCAGGGTTCATTCTAGTCAGCTCGACCATCACATACATGCCAATCATAGTCATGTTGAACGGAACGAGATTCTTCTCATAGGACGGGCTCCAAACGAAGACAGCGAGGCGTAGAAACAAAAGAAAACAACAACACATTCGGGAACAGGAAGAAACCAGTACGCACACAAACAACGGATGGCGTCCGGAGATGGCGCAGAACGAAATGCACGGCCGATTATCCTCGCAAGGCGGGAGCCGCTCGCTAGGCAAGACAAGCGGAACGGCGTCGACTTGGTTGAGCGGGACAAGGTCACAATCCAGGCCCTTGGCTTAGCGCCGTGGTGATAAGAAGACCCCTGTCCAATATACATGTCAGTTTCAACTTCAGGACACCGCTGCTTGGGAACGCACGTCGAATCGCGGCAGCTACAACAACCACACTACGAGAGATGGTTTATTTCGGGCGTGGATTAACAGCAGAGAGGGGGCCCACACGAAGTAGCCCGAACCAACCTTTTCCGGTAGTGTTCGCGGCTGATCCCCGCTTCAATAAACCTCCGTCCACGGAGGTGGTGGGGCCTAGGAAAGAAGAGCCGCAGAGAGAGAAAGCGCTTGATCGAGTTGGGCTGGACTTTTGCCTCGCCTTGCTAAGGGCAGACGTCCGAGGTAGACAGACGGGCAAACGGACGGCGCTGATACACCAATCTCTTTGCTCTGTCCGCAAAAACAAACTGCATGGAAGGATCCGAGAGGCGAGAAGAGCAGGTCAACATGTTGTGCTTCCTGCAGAAGTGAGCTGTAAATCGAACCAAGCTGGGTCAACCCTGTCGTGCCAAGCCCGTGTTTATGGATTCACAAGCTACACGAGCCAGCGAGAGGTTGTACAGTGCCTGCCCATGCACAGGGATGCCTCTAAACGCAAAAGTAAGCTTGAAATCGAACATCCGGTGAGCTAAACAGGGTTAGGGGAACGTTGCTGTCATCAGGCATACACGGGCGCTGTTTTCGTGCGAGCGACCGCTGCCTGTTATCCAATGCGCGCACGCTGACCGACAGCATCCGGGTATTCATACGCAGGGCAGTCCAGTCTCTGTGTGGTCGACCCAATCCTGCATCACTGTAGCCTGGCTGTATGTAACTTCGGACGACTGGAAGGACAGTGCGTGATGGGATGGCGTTGACTGAGCTGGACTCGACCACGACCGCTTGCCTCTTCTCAGCTGCAATATCTGCTCCATGAACGGTTCGTCCGAGAGTCACACGACGTGATCAGCCCCAGGGTAGGAAGCGAAATTCAAGGCCGATCAAGCAAGGTCAGGAAGGCCCCTTTTTGCGCTCTTTTCCTCATCTGGGTCTCGATTAATCTGCTTTGGGCAACCAGAAATTAAAGATTTTTTCTTTTCGGCTTTATCGAAGACCCCTGGGTAATAGATTCAGGTATCCCGCTCTCGAGACCTCTGCTGCCACCCGGCTGGGCAGATGTTTGGCGGTAGACCCAGAGAAGATTCCGCATGGGAATTGCGTGGGTATGGGAGTGGCCAGGCAGTCGACAGCCAGCCGCGGAAGAAGAAAGGCGTGGCGTTGATGCATCGTCACACCATCGATGGCAACGTCATGCATCAAGGCCAAGGATGAAAAGTCGTTTCCTCCGCGCCTCTCCCGGTCCCAAGTCTCAACCCCCCCCCCTTAGAAAAAAGAAATGTGTGACTATATGCAGATCGTGAGTGAGAGCGGAGGACGCACGAGAGAGTGGCGCCTAGAAGTCTGGAAATGGCTTACATGTCATTGCAATGAGGATGTGATGCGATTGGTGAGCGCGTTTGGTGGAGTGGTCGCAAGAATAGGTATGGGGAGGGGTATGCATTGTCGTTGGTGCTGTTAGGTAAATGTGATGGAGACTTTACTTGACTGGGAAAACGGGAACTGGGAACGCGGGGTTGCCGCACGCCCACCCCCCCCTAGTCGGATATATGATTATACTCGTTTACCCCGATAGTTTAAAGTGGATGGGTCAGGGATCCGGGGGGTTGGCTGTGTGGGTTGGTCGTCCTTGGCGGAAGCGGCCCCATATTTACACGTACTAAATAAGTACCTGTACGATTTGCGATATACCTAGGTACTGGGCTAAAAGCCCGGTGAGGGGTTAGAGTGACGCTAGACACGCAGAATCCCAGTTCCTGCGTTAGCCAGGGTCTAGTCTCCCAAGGCGACGCGCTCTTGGCAGCTTCCGAGGAGGGGGGGGCGTTCTCAAAGTTGAACAGGGGTCACTAAAGTCAATGGGAAAGTCGAAGTCGAGGGAAAAGCTAATGTACCTCGCAGTGTACGTACCTAGTAGGAGCAAGCAAGGGCGCTAGGAGATGGAGGCAGTTCATCCTAAGCCCGGCAGACCGTAACAACTCGCTCTTGTCGGCTTCACCCCCTCTTCATGACCTTACAATGGCCCGAGGCTTCATGAATGTGCACAGGTGGCTTTCGTGTATGCACCAGATCAGATCATGCCCGACAAGCGATTCACCAATCGATGCCTGACCATATGGCCATTGCAGCGGCCATCTGCTGGACGAGCCAGGATGGGTCATAGCAGCAGCAGCAGCAGCATCGAGCCTCCCCCGCGAAATGCTACGGTGCAGCGTCCCCTTTCTCCGCCCTGCAAGCGTAGTTTCTTTTTTCTTCTTTTTTTTTTCTTCTTTTGCTGCCCCTGAACCGGGTACCGTCGTCCAGTCTCCATTTGACCTAGTTCATTTCCGACCACACGCGCACTATGGCCCGTCATGCCTAAGCTTTGCCAACTTCAACGGGGGAGATTGAACGACGACACAAGGTCTGGCGTCCGAATCGCGACGGCTGGGGCGTTTGCCACTTCGGTAATCATCTTACTACCCATCTCGTCTCCCGCTCGACTCATTTGTTTCTTCGTCAGCAAGTGAACGCGCAAAGCTTTACAAGCCCTTGAGCTCTCTGCTTACTTGTGTCCTGGGTGCTTCTCGACCGGCTTGGCATAGTGGAGACGAGTTCTGGGTTATGCAATCGCATGGATATTTCGTCAGGTCATGGTTACGCAGAAGTAGCTGGTGCAGATCCAATGAATAATCCCATATCCATCACCCGTGGACGAGGCAAAAGGCTCGTCATACGTCGTAGCACAGCCACAAAAGAACAATTCCTTTTCTGTTCAGGGAGCCAATCACGGATAGTCGGAGCACGTCTTCCCCTCCTTCTTGGCGTGATGTGGTATAGTGGGATAGCGCTTGCTATGATGATATGTTCAGGCCTCGGTTCAACCACGGGCCGCCACGGGTAATTGCGTTTCGTCGGCACCGCTACCTACCTACACATGGCCAGGGGTTTCCCCCCCTCAGCCTCTCGTATTTCAAGGTTGGCAAACGGACACCAGCTCTTGTCGTTGAATTAACCACCTACCCAAGGCCATGGAATGGCTTCATCTGGTGAGACAGAGGAGGCTGCCGTTGAAATGTCGCAAACGCGGGATACGGGCTGAGACGTGTTGCACTTACTCCGTACCCAATTATGTATTATTATCCAGTTATTTGCTCCTCGTCCGGTCTTGCCCTTAGTTCCGCAATATCCCAACGTTTTGTTTCTCCTGCCGCGATGCGCAAAAGTCGCGTCAATTCCCATCGTATCTTGTCGGCCGTACGAGTAAACATCGTGAAGATAGGTGGACCTAGTAACTAGGTGGTGGTGTATCGATGTCGATAGCCTTGGCATTGTCGATGGAATAGAGCCCATCGATCCCATGGCCCGTCTGCCCGCCTGCCCGCCTACCCGTAAAAATCAAGCACAAGGCCGACAAGGTTTACAAACTTAACCGCTGATGTTCCTTGCCAAGTGATATTACTAAATTATATTGCAAATTGCATTGCAGAGGGGCGGATATATGCAAGATAGACACCCCAACTCCCCCACTGGCGTTCAATAGTGCGAAAATGGCGGTCGTTCGCAAGGTTAGACGCCAGGACGCCAACGGCAGTATCCGTAGCTTGGCCCAGCATATGTCGATCAATTGCAGATCCCGAAAAGCGATTGACATCCTGTTCCACAGTGGGCTGCAGAGCTTCCGCTGTAGCAATTATTTGTCAGTATTTCAAATCGTTCAACAATGTCCCCTACAAGCGGCGAACGGTGCCCATGCCCAGAAACACCGGTGCCAGGGGAGCGAAGGGAGAGCAGTCACGTACCAGTATCCATATTGTGAGCAGCAATTCTTTTCGCCGTAGTTTTTGCAGGTTGCTTTATACTGGCTGCCGCAAATCCCGTTGGTAGTATCACTCACGCCTGAAGCTTGTGGCGCACAAGAACCAAAGCCTGGCTGGCAGCCCGTTCCGCAGTACGTCAGGCTTGAGCCGCTGTGGTAAGGAAAAATCGTCAGCCGTCCCATTCATAGTATCACGGGGCGTCCGGAAGGCTTACCAGAACCCATATGGTGAGCAGCAGTTGCCAAACGCCGAGTCAAGACACGTGTAACCAGCGGTTCCACCGCAGGTTTGGTCCGGCGAGACTTTGGCCGTGGATGCAGGGGGTCTGGATGAGGTGGAGGTAGTCAAGGTCGTGCTACGCATGGGCACGGAAGTTGTTGTCCTCGTACTCGTGGACTGGGGCGCGATGCTGGAGCTAATGGCACCACCGGCAGGCCGGTACCAGTTCTCCTTGGGATCATTGAGACACTCGCCCACGGTCACAAGACGGTATCCGCGTGCCTTTGCTGTGTCAATCATAAACTGGGTCAGGTTGGACACGGTCTGATAGTGGACGTCGTGGGACAGCTCGATGTAGCTATTGGCAGCCGCATTCGTCGAGATCCCGCTAGAGAAGCGGTCTTTAGCGGTCTGGATTGTCTCGGAAGAATCATACATATAGTCCTTGGTATCGATGTTAACATTGATGATGTGGTAGCCGAGCGTCTTGAGCAGGTTCTGGCAGCCAGAGCCCGCGTCGCATTCGAGGTAAGGCGGACGCATGTAGGTAGGGATCCAGCCGAAGAGGTTCCGGAATGACATTTCGTTGTAAATGATTTCAGTCCTCTGAATGGTGCTGTTGACCAGATTCAAGTTGCGATGGCTCCAGGTATGGCTCGCAATGTGGTGGCCAGCAGCGTGCATCCGGCGCATGACGGCCGGCCAAGCAGTATCCGGGTTGTCCATCCGCAGCTTGCCCTTGTTGTTCCCGGCGACGAAGAAGGTGGCGGTGACATTCTGTGCCTCAAGGATGTCGAGCAATTGCGATGTATAGATGTATGGGCCGTCGTCGAACGTCAATGCCAAGGTACCGGGCACGGCGCAGGTGGTAATTATTGAGCCTGGAAGAGACGCACGTTAGGCCTGTTCCGCAATGCATGATGCAAATGAACACACCATAAGGTACGGAGCCCACGAGGGGACGGGCGATACTCTCCGTACTAGCGCCCGGCGGTGGAAAGCTAGTGAGGCCCAGTTAGCAATTCCGCTATGTGGACATCTGGACCCAGGGCAAGCGGCAAAAAAGTCTCAGTTGAACTTACAAGGTGTCGCAAGAGTCGCTGAACTCAAGCTGGCACTGCGATCCGCCGCAGTAATCTGCCGTCGTTCCACACCAGCCGGCCTCTGAGCAACACTGTCCCGGAGCGCAGGAACCGATTCCGGGCCCGCACTCGGCTCGTTTGACGAGGGGAATGTGAATAGTGGCGGCTTTGACCGCCCCTGACAGGATGAATGGCAGTAGTCTATGCATGTTTTGGGGCAATATATGCTGTAACGAGGGTGTGGTTATGGAGATCGACACTGCGGGCACAAATGAGGGTCAGAATGCAAATTTATCTAGGGATGGCGAGGAGCGGTATTTGCAAGTGATGTTGGAAATGGTAGCCAGCAAGTCTTTCTGGTCATACAAGAACGGTGCTCGTCTCGTCCAGTCCTGCCAAGGGCGCCGGCTGACCTGGTTCTCCTTGGGTCAGTCTTAAAGAAAGAGACGGAGTAAGTCGGTCTAAGGTGACGTGCAAATTGACGGTCGGAGCAACGACGCTGACAAGGTGTATGCATTTGGCTGGGCCCAGCCTTGGAAAACTCAATACGAGACGGCTTCCCGTTGCGCGTCGAACCAAGACCCGAGTGTATAGCATGACACGTTTCAACCACATCGCTGGATCCATCCATGTCTTCGGAGCCGGCATTGGGACTTTGTCATGCCTACACGAGGAGAAAGGCAACGGATGAGGCGTTCAGCAGGCGGCATCCAACTTGCAGCCCCACGTCAGCCGGGACAGACACGAGATCCTCTGAGAACTTGGGCAGGGTAACCTGTCTGAGAGTTGTTTCCCGATGGCGGACCCGGCTCACCCGACTAAAGGCTAGGATCGACCGATATTACTCGGGGTACGAATCCTCAAGCACATCTCCGTGAAGGTGTGTGTGTTGGCAGGCTAACGGTGAGAAGCAAGAAAAAAAACCTTTCATCTGTCAATACGGCAATGCTGAGTGAGACCAGACACATTGAGCCCCTGTAGAAGATGCAGAAGCTGGCCAATACTTCATGGAGCTCTAGCCATCCAGACCGAATTGACTGATGATGTGTGCCTTAAGAGGAAGACCAGGAAAGACTTAGTGGAAGATCAGACACCAAGAACTGGGGTGTGACTGGCAGGAGTTGACGGGGGGGCCTGGCTCAGGTTAGATAACCCTTGTCAATTCCATCCATGCAATTAGTAGTTATCCGACGGTTCCAAGGATAGGCCAAGCGGGAGGGGGGAGGAGGTGCGTGCTCGTCGTCCTTATTTTCTGATCAGAAGTACAAAGTTTCTTTTCTGCTTGCCTCTCTTCCTCGCCCGAAGTCTGGCGGGAGGGATTGTGTATGGGTTCGGCATCCGTATCTCGTCGAATCCGGGAGGATGAACACTGGGATCCGTTGTCTTGCGATCTGTCATATTTGATCCTGAAAAGCAACGCCACTTAAGACGTCGATAGTGGTGGGCATGAATGAAAACGTCTGGGCACAAGCTCACATGAATGAAGGGCGATTGCGTTTCCCCACAGACCGGCCAGCGGTCGAAAACCCCATCACTTAGTCTTTTATTGGCTCTCCGAGGACTTGGCAACCTAAAGGGACCGCAGTGAAGCCACCGGTCCCGGCTAAAAAACTGCTCAGCCCAGTGTTTGAACCTGAGATCCGTTCGACTTGATTGACTTTCGCCTCATGCTTGACGGCAAGCTTCATTTCGATTTTTGTTGCCTCCTTGGAACACATCGGCGATTCCTTGTCGCTCGGTCAGGAAACAAAGCAAGCCGATACTCCAATCTTTCTAGTGCCGTCAGCATCCTTCTCTGCTCCTTCCAACCTTTTTGGTTCATGAAGGAGACTCTGTATTGGAACTTTTCTTCATCCCGTGTACATAAAAAACGCTGGTCGGCACAAGCATATTGGGGCATTGATGTCATTCTCGGCTGGGCTGACTCTTGAAATGGCAAAGGTCGAGTAAGAGCTGCAGCCAATCGGGTTTCGATCATGGTCCTCGTATAACAAGAGACCGAGGGAGCACAGGTCACCAAACGGAAGCGGTGCTATGATGTCTGGAGCCAATGGTAACCCCAGCTCCGTACAAAAGCTGAGATGCACCTCGTCTTCTTTGCATCGTTGGCCCAACTTGGCAAGGCTGCGGCTTCAATGTCAATCCTAGACACCTGGCGGCGCCTCTGCAGTGTTCTAAATTTGTAATGCATCTTGCATTTGTCGTGCAGATGGCATCAGTGCAGAGGCCTCAGCATCCCATATTTTGGTTCGTCAGCTAGCAACGAGGCGGCAAAGTTGCACCAATCATGCCAATGCCAAGGGCACACAGGGTGAGGATGACGGCGAACCCCATCTTCGTAGAAGCCAAAGACTCTTACAGGTCGCAGGCAGCCAGGCTCTCCCGCGCGCACTGGTGTCATCCCGACATCCATGGACGACGTTGCGTCGGACTTTTGGCGCCGAGACATTTCGGTAAGCGTTGTAGCGATGGTGGGCGGAAATCAGGGCCGTCGTAGTTCTCGGACTATAACGACTGTCGTGATGAGAGAAATTTGGGTTTCTCGATTTTTGATCCCTTTTCGAGACAAGTCTTCATGCTTGGAATTAGCTCAATAAGTAGCGAAGTTATTCCTGTCGACGCGGCAGTCTGATCCGCCAGTTAGTAAATCTCGTTGTTATATTAGGAGCTAAGGTCATTGCTTGTTTGGGTGAAGCGTCATGCGATAACTACCTGGACGAAGTTGTTGCTCGAAGGAAAGCTGCGTACGCATAACAGTGTCTTTCGCCTGTGGCGCTACGCCAGTCCCTAGCAGACAATGACGAGCTTTGGAGCGGACGGAAAGGGGAGAAAAAGGCGTCGAGGAGGGACAGCCGGTCCATTGTTGTAGTTCTCATACCACGTGTACGCGTGGATCGGTGAAAGGGGCGTTTTGCGACACGGAGGCTTGAGTCGAGATGGTAAGTGGCTGACGGGATCGTGGAGAGCGGTCCGGAATGCCATCGACGAGCTCGCACCCCTGCGCGTCTTCGTGGGCTCGCTGAGGTACGTATACAAGGCGGTCCCTCTCAAGGTCGCACAGACACTTCGTCAGCCCAAGGAGCGTATTGAGATGAACATGTGAAGAGATGAAGGAGGGGATGTGTGTAAAACTACTTACTAGGTAGTAGGAAACCGAATAGAGGGGGGAAGCGGGAAGTAATGGAGGGGCGTGAGAAGTTGAGAAACACTACGTACAAGTACCTTGAGGGAGTGGTCCGAGATGCAACCCCCTCTGTATGCAATAAGGCCCTGAGATCAGTATTATGCAATAATCTGTATCGACTGAGACTTGCATCCAGGGGGGGCGGGTATAATGTATGACATATGCATACCAAGGTACGTACCTGTCGACCCGTGGAAAACTGACCGAACGCCGCCCGCGCCGTTTCTCTCGCCAATCATTCCCGTACGCAGCGCAACGTCCTTCCTTCTTTCTACTGCGCATCAACCACACGACATCGTTTTCATTTCTATCCCGACAGAGCTCGGCCTGCCAAGACAATAGCTTCCTCTCAACGCCTCGAGTGGATACGCGTGCGCTTGACGGAATACGGGCTTGATGCCCATGCCATGCCCGACGACTTCGCCATGTGTGCTCTGCAACGCAACGCAACGCAACCCAGGCAAGCGAGCTCGTCCCGGTGTGCTGCTCTCTTCCTCTTGCTCAGACTCCATCCAGCCATCTCACCCCTCCCCCTCGCCCTCCGCTCGCTCTGACGGCCCCCTGCTGATGTCTTCGCAAGCCTTCCATCAGAGAAAACTTCCAAGACCTCCAAGACAAGACCTTGCCAGGAAGATGAAATCTCTTTCGCCAAGAAAGAACGGCGGGGCCAGGCGAGATCGTCGGGCCCAATACCGGTAGTTGACTAAGTTGTCTTCTCTCCGGGCCTTGGAGATGCGAGAGCGGCCCTAGGGTGCGCTTCCCGACCTTGTCGATTCACCTCGATCTGGGAGTACCCTGTCAGGCCTGCTCACGCCCTTCCAAGTCCGACCATGCAGCGGACTGTGATATTCAACTCCGCGCCAGGTCCCAAGGAAGCATGCCTCCCTCCCTCCCTTCGGAGCCCAGCCGTCCAGGCTGCAGCTTTGTCTGGCTTCTCTCAAAGTCCTCGACAGCAGCTTTTTTTGATCGGAAGGGGGAAGGGGGGGCGGCGCTCTGCACGACCTCAAGCATTGTCGGAAGGCAACTCGGCGAGAGTGCAACGAATTGACAGGGGATATGATTGTCTCTGCCTGCTTCATGCATCCGAGCTTGCCAGCTTGGCGATTCCACGGCCGAGTGATATTGCTGCTGAGTGACAAGATGGTCTTCTTTCGGAGAGGTCCTGTCGTATGTTGTTGGTCTAGACACCTTGACCAGGGCAGAATGCCGCCATTATCGTTGTGCTGGTGCCATATTGCACTACTGCTTCCCTCTCTCGTCTTTGCCGAGCCGTGCCTATGTTTTTCTTGTAGTTGCGTTCAGAGGGTGGAACCGTCAGCCACCTTCAGACCGCTTGCCATGGATGAGCTCCTCCCAGCCCAGACGGACGGACTATTGCTGATGATCACCCGTTTGACTTTCTCCCCCCGTTCCGAGTCCTATCTCTGCGCAGGTGCCAGCCTGGGCCTGAAACTATCATCTCATCTTCGTTTTCCTGGCTATTTTTTCCTGTTGATTTGCTCACAGCCCTGTCGCTACCCCAGCCGCGTACCGCCGGCTATCTTTTGGGGGTGGCCTCACCTCACCACTACCACCATGACATGGCGTTCACGCCTGCTGCAGACGTGGATCCCGATTAGGACCGGCGGCAAACTCAGCTCGGCTTCGTAGCCATGTCTCAACCTTTGCTTGCCACAGGTGCTGCCATGGTCCATGGAGAGAGAGACAGAGGCAGAGGGGGAGAGAGAGGCTGCCGCAACGATCTGGGTCTGTACAAGCTCGAGTAGGTGACGCCAGTGGCATGGCCACATCGAGTGAGCTGTCTCCTCCTTCTTACTCTTTGCGTCTGTTCATCATGTTGGCACCTCGGTTGGCAATTCTTTTTAATTCCCGTCTCCGTTCTTTCCAACAAGGTTTCTCTTCCCTCTCTCCCCATGCACCCCTCTCTCCCCCTTCTTCACATCTTGTCCTCGAGAGCTGGCTGCTTGGCAGTGTAGTTGACCACTTCGACAAGAAGATATCAAGAGGGCATCCTCCCGTTCATCTTCCATAGATAGCTCATCTCCACCGCATATCCCTCCTCTGCCAACACCCAGTTGTTCGTTTATACCTTCGTTTCATCATAATCGTAATGGATGCTCAGGTTCTTACCCCCGACACCCCAGAGCGGTCTCCGACATGTCGCAACGCCTACCCCTTTGAATCGACGGAAGACAAGTCGGGGGCTTGTGAATTCTCCCACGATGGCTACTACCCCATCACTCCTCCCACCGAGGAGTGCGAGTCGGATGAGGAGCTCGCGACCGTTGCCAGTTCCATTGACCTCGAGGCGGAGCCGCTGGTGGCCGTTATCGGTGTCGGGTATGTCGGAGAGCACCTCGTGGGCAACTTTGCTCGCAAGTTCAATGTCCTCGGCTTCGACGTTTCCGAGGCGCGCGTCCAGGGCCTCGAGAAAGAGTTCGGCCCGGACAGTAAGGCCAAGTTCACCTGCAAGCCCAGCGACATGGCGGCGGCTACCCACTTCCTCATCTCCGTCCCTACGCTCTTGCGCCCCGACCAGAGCATTGACTCGTCCTTCCTGAGATCCGCCCTCAAGAACGTCGCCACGTACGCCCGTCCTGGCTCCGTGGTTGTCATCGAATCCTCTGTCGCAGTCGGCATGACCAGAGAGCTGCTGGGCCCCCTCGCCAAGGAGCGTCACTTCTTCGCCGGCATGTCTCCCGAGCGTGTCGATCCCGGTCGTATCGAACCCCCTGCCTTTGCCATCCCCAAGATCGTATCCGGCTTGGACGACGTGGTGCCTGGCTCATTAAACGCTATTGTCCGCCTCTACTCGCAGGTTTTCGACCACGTCGTTCCCGTTTCGCGGCCTGAGGTCGCCGAGATGACCAAGCTGTATGAGAACTGCCAGCGCATGATGTGCATTGCCTTCGCAAACGAGATGGCCGACGCGTGCTTGGGACACGGTGTCGATCCCTACGAGGTGTCCGGCGCGGCGGCGACCAAGCCTTTCGGATACATGCCCTTCACGCCCAGTCTCGGTGTCGGTGGTCACTGTATCCCGGTAAACCCATACTACCTTCTCTCCAACAGCCAGTTCCCTCTCCTTCAACACGCAACAGAGAAAATGCGCGCCCGTCCAGCGGCCATCGCTCAGCGCGTGGTTGAGGCGCTATGTGCCGAGAAGCCGCGCCCCAGCGTCCTTGTCGTCGGCATGGGCTTCAAGAAGGGCCAGTCTCATCTGGTCAACTCCCCCGGCCTCGAGCTCGCCAAGAGCCTCGTGCTGACTGAGAAGGTCGATGTGTGCTGGGCCGATCCCCTCGTCAAGCAGGAAGCTGTACCACAGATTGACCGTCTGGACGTCGAGGACTGGAACATCAAATCGCTCGAGCAGCGCTTCGACATGATCGTTGTTGCCTTCCGGCAAACGGGGCTCGACTTTGATCTCCTGAGCCAGCTCGAAACGACTCGGGTCGAGATGTGGTGCAACTGAAGCTTCGGCCAAGGTTTGTGGCTGCAATCGGGCTGACTGTGGCGCCTTCTCTTCAGCGTCATCGTCATCCAATCCATCCCTCTCCAGTGTCTTATCACTTTTCCCCCCCCCTCCAATCAGTGGATTGTCATTACCTTGGCTTCGGCCCCATGATGATCTGTGGTGCTGGTTGATATCTATAGGAGCAAACCGCAGGCTGAATGAACCACACATATAACGTGCCATCTCGCAGCACAACGGATGTAATACTTTGGGCCTTTTTTTTCTCTTTTCCTTTTTGGTTTCTTTTCCTTTGTCCTCATCGGGGGGTACCATGGTATATTCGGTAGATAAAAAAAAATGGTCGGATTGTTGCGTTTGGACGAGAATCGATTTGGGGAAGAGCATTGATGACCTGTCAGCAATACATTGTGAGATACTCCGTACATATCCCAGGAATGCATTGCTGTTCCTGATGCCGACCCATAATTTGAATGCATTGCGATGTCGTTCCATGTAGTGACGTATAAATACCTGACGTGTGTCGTGCTGCGATACACCCGGTACTCGAGAGCGAAGTGCCTGTTGATGTTGGGCGTCGCCCTTATAAATCCTGCGACAAACTGGTGCCTCCGGGAGATCTGTCGGTAAAGACGGCACAAGTTATTCAGCTAGCCTCCGTCTGCGCCTCTTCCGATGGAACACCGTCACATTGTCAGCCGTGCCGAGTTGCCGAGCTGACCCATCTTCGTCGGTGCGGCGAGCGTTTTGAAAATAAAGGTTGCCATGAGGTGTCGCCCGCGCTGCACAACCAGTAGCCTTGGGTGGTTGATATATATGATAAGTCGGTGCTGTGTCTCTAATCAGCCCTGATATACGCTGGCGCCCATATCGCGGTGCATTATCTATCGGCATGCGTGATTCCAGCAAGTAGCCAGGGGTCTCGTCCTCTAGTTGGCAGCCTTGCCCATATTGAGCCGACCACCATCTCGACCCTGGAGATAAGAGCGTTGCTTTTTAGATCTATTTGGGACGGCCCGCTTGACATGTTGACCGTCTGGTGGGAAATGATGCAGGACGGGACGATACGAGGCCGAGATAAAAATCGAGCTGCAGCTGCTAAGTGAAGATGGTGTGTAGGAGGCGGTGAGCGATGTTGTTGAACGAGGAGAGATGATATTGACGACATTAGGTGAGTGCTGCTCGTGGATGATTTTGAGAAAGGCACCTCAGCATCCACCCCCCTTTGGTTCATCGTTTGCCTCCCCAAGGGCACTGTAAACACATGCTTTCTCACAGTCGAGGAAGATGTGCGCACCCCTTCTGCATGAGCAAGCGGGTGTCGGTGCTGTGAAGCTTGCGGCGCAGCCTTATCGCAGGCCGTGAAGCCCGTCCGTTTACATCGCTTGGCGAGAATGATAATGGTGATAAGGTCAAGCCAAGAGCTCTCCAATGTCTTATAGGACTGGGAGGACGGGAAATCAGCCACCAAGGTGGTTTTTCCCCCCTCTTTTGGTTTTCGCCACAGTGTGCCAATCGCCAAACAGCTTACAGCCACAAGAGTTTGCTGAGTGATAAATAACGCGGGTATGTTGCCCGAGCAGCTTTTTAGGAAGCTCCTGCTTTCGTCTTATGTGGCTGGATATTTTGAGTTTCAATCATGTTTTGCTATGTAAGCGCCCCTAAAAGCTTATCGAAAGGGGAGAGGGGTGAGAAGGAAGGAAAGAGGGAAACAAAAACCGGATGATTATGATTTGCCAGACTTGGATGTCAATATCCCAACTGCAAGCGACTGTGTCTACAATCCATCAAGCTTTTTGAAGCAGCTTTGTGCTCCGGATATAGTTTGACTTTTGGGACCAATCGATATTCCATCCGAAATCGGCAGTTGTTTAAAACTGCCTATATCTCATTTTGGAGTCTGCTGCTCATTGTATTGAAGATATGACGATGGGAGAGGAAAGTAATCCACTCGGAGAGTTAAGCACATCCGTCGCCCTCTCATTAGAAGTTTAATCCAGTATTCGTCTCGCCCAAAGACTGCGGACTTTTCATTCTGTGTCGTCCCATGTTTTCCCGTGCCATCCCATGTCGTCGCCTCTCATGTTGACTGTTACCGGCGAGAAAAAGCCCGTGAGGTGCCTCCCTCAGTGGCCAGCGATCAGGGTACCGCCAATCCCACCACCGGACGAGCCGTCCATGCCGTTGGGGTCCTCGTCGTCCGAACCGGGCCCCCGACGGGGCGTCTCGTTAACGGGCTTTCCGCAATGGAAGAAAAGGCCACCCCTGGCCTTGTCCCTCCACTCCCTGATCTTGGCCGCCTTCGCCTTCTGACGCTCGGCTTTGTCGCCAATGTCGCGGGTCTCGGAGTGCGCTCGACAGGCGTGGCAGGTCCGGCACGTGACGAAACCGTTCTTGTCCGTGAAGTTGATCTCGGGCTTGCACTTCTTCTGGCGGCTGCAGAAGCACCACGTGGCAAATGCCGGGTTGTACCGGACCGCCTTGCAGCGGCGGACGTTGTTACCGGTGTAGTCCTGGCCGTCCTGGAGGTAAGCGCGCGTCGTGCAACCGCTGTGGGGGTCGTCCTTGCCGCCGCCGCGGCCATGGAGGTTGAGGGCGCGGGCATTGGCGTCGATGCTGCTGGTAAAGGACTCAGCCTCGCTGACGGCCCCGTCGGCGGACTCGGGGACCAATTCGTTGGCGGCGGTGTTTGCGTCGGTTCCAGAGTCCTCGTCGTCGCTGACAAACAGTCTGGCCTCCTCCTCCTCCTTCTCCTCCTCCTCCTTCTCCTCCTCCTCCTCCTCCTCCTCCTCCTCCTCAGGCTTTTTTCTCTGTGGATCGTCAAAAACCAAGCGTCTTGATTGCGGGAAAATAAGTAGATCGAATGAATCCAGAAAAGGTAGGATCATCTTGAAGCTCGCCCAGCTTAGAGATGAAACCATGGAAGGTATCCTCGTAGCAAGAACAATTAAAGAAATACAGATGAAAGAACACTTACAGCCATTACGGGTAGTGAAACTCAGGTTTCTGATTCTTGTTGCTTTATGATGATGGTATCGGGATGTCCCCCAAGCTCACAAAGGTAGACTTTTTACTATCTTTCACTTGGAGAGGGAACGAGGAATAAAGAACAGAACGTAGCAAAACAGCTTCCCTCGGATACTTCTTTTGTGCGTCTTGTTCCACAGTGGTCTGCTCAACGACTAATCGATCTCATAGTTTGGGTGGTGGCTCACTCGCTGTCATGATACAACAGATTGTGCCCATCGAAGCCCCCACCCTTGTCCTGGTTGGCGGTAGAGCGGGGCAAGAAGAGTGAAGGAAATTCACCTCGATAGTGAAGAGACCCGGGTAGATTAATTGTGTGGCTCAGGAATGAATGTACCTTGTTACTGGTACGGATGGGAGTGTTGAAGAGCTTTAGAGGTAATGGGGGAAACGTAAAGGGGTCCCGGAACAGGATATCCAAGAATGAGCTTTTGCTGCCCTGATACCAGGGCATATATAGAATGACTTGAAGACGTCAAGCTGGTGATAATAAACTCAAGTCACTAGTCTCAGGAGTCACATAAGCTGGGAAATGGTTGAACACCATCTTGACAGTCCACTGTATCCCAGTAAATAGACCAAGTACTCTAGACCTCGGACAACGGTGATGGGCCAATCACACAAGATAGAAACTAGATACTGGAACAGCGAAGATGGGAATTAAGTACCACGTATTAAAAGCAACTTGCGCAACCAAAGGGTATTCGGCAACGGGTTCCTGCTCTGAGATGTACATCTGGTCTGGGAAAATATCGCGCTCAGAGAAGGACGACACAATTTCGTACAAGCCTAGGGCTGCCGCCGACCGGTCCAACGGGTTAGTTGAATAGTCTGGCGGATGTAGGGAAAAGACCGGAACGCCAGGGATGGAGAAGACGCTGATATGCAAAGTCGAGGCTTGAAAATAGGCGAGGGGGAGGAGACATCAGTCGCCGAGGGGCATGCCCTCCAGCTCGTCGAGAAGACGGCGCCAGTTGTCGGCCAACATCTCGGAGTACTTGACACGCTCCTGAGCCCAGTCCTGGTTCCATCGTGAGACGTGGAACTGCGTCTGCTGGAAGTAGATGAGCTCATCGCGGATGCATTCCTTGATGAAGATGGACCGGTTGTGCTGGTTAACGATGGACTCTTTATCCTGCAGCGTTCGTTAATATCGTCGTTCCGTGAGGTGTGGGACCACATTTACGTACCTTGATGATCGCGTCAACCACCTTCTCGATCTCACCCGGCTTCACAAGGTCGGCGGGTTTGCTGCGAAGATTGGCCAGCTTTGTCTCGTTCGTCTGGATCCTCCGCTCGAGGTAAGGGATATTGTCCTTGTCAAGACGTTCCCTCCGATCGAACAAGTCGCGGATGCTGACGAGCGCGTCGCGCTGGCGCTTCAGGTCCTCCAGCACTCCCTCGTCCCAAGCCTTGCTTTCGTCTTCCAACAGGGTCTGACACGTTCTCAGATGCCTGCTCATGGATGTCAGGCCATCGTTGAGCAGAGGTACTTCGTTAGTGTCGGTTGCGTAGGTGTCGGCACTCGCTTCCGTCAGGGAAGTGAGAGACATGGCAATGCGGGCGTGGTCGGCTGCAACTCCCTCGCTGCGCTTCACTAAGCGGTCCATGATGTTGCAAATGTTGATGTACAGCTCAGCCGAACGTCGAATGCCGGTCCGCGTCTTGTCAAACAGTGCCTCGAGGGTAGGGGGCAACGAGTCCTCCAGCCCGGGGGGCAAAACACGCCCTTGAAACTCGTCTTGGACGGATATGGTGGCCTGCTTGCGCCACACGGCCAATTCCTGATACTAACAATTAGCGAGGTTCAACGGGTCGGCAAGAGTGGTGGCTCTAGCTTACAGTTGGCACAGTCAGGAACATGATGATGAGCTGCTCCTGGCCAAGGATAGGATGACGAACGAGCGCGTTCAGAAACCTCGCCAAACCCCTGCGACGCTTCTCGATAAAGGCGCCATCGTTGGAAAAGTGGTTGCCATTAACTTGTATCGTCAGTAGAAAGTCGACGAGTGCGGGGGGTTAAACTTACCAGCGACACGCTTGGGCGGCAACAGAGGCAGCGCACGGAAAGGATATCGCTTGTGCAGACAGTCCAAAAGCCATACGAAGTCGCTGTACCGTCGGATAACCTTGCTGCCCCGCCGGATGCTCGAAACCTCGTAGTTGTGGTGCTGGAACATAAACAGACCCTCCTTCTCGGGTAGTAAAGAGACGATAATGTTCTCCTCCACAGGGCCTCCCGATCGGGCGCTCACGGTAGGGCGCAGAGACGGCACAGTAGCGGAGTTTCCAGTCGTGTCGCGTGCGCTGCTCGTGCCGCCGAAAGGACTTGTAATCTGGCTGGGGACGGGTTCGTTGAAGCCGCCGCTCGTGGTGCTGCCATCGAAATAGCCACCCCAGCCGCCGCCTGGTGACGTGCCACTGTTTACATTCTGACGTCCGGAACCTGTCGGAGAGCTAGCTGCGTAGGCAGATATGGTTCGACCGGCGATGGCAGTGCTCGGCGACGAGCTGTAATTGCCGTTACCATTGCCGTTGCCGTTGCCGTTACCGTTGGCATTAGGTGCAGGGCGCTGGGGGCTGGAGCCGTTGGTCCTGCTGGGGGATTCAGCGATGGTGTGCGCGTGGCCCTTGTGCACGTCAGGGGAGTTCCATGGGTCCTCGGCTTCTGGGAAGTCCATCGGAGATCGACGCAGAGTGCTTGGCTGAGACGGCGGCGGCGATGCGGATTCTTGAACGGGGGGGGTTGTAGGAGCTTGGGGAGGTTTGGCAGCAAGCTCGGAGACGGGAGGCATCTCGGGCGCAGCAGTCAGGCCGGCAAGCTTGGGGAGTGGGAGGTCTGGATTTAGCGTATTGGCAATTAGCAAGGAACAGGACCCCACACAGATTGCGGCGCACTGATAAGTGGTAAGGTCAGGTCCAGGGAGCTGCGATAGTCGATAGCTTGGGGGGGCTGGGCCAGGGTACCGAGGTCATGACATAAAGTGCAAGGTGGATGGAGGAAAAGTAATGATGGGGTGGGAGAGAATAAAAGATGCACTCACTTCTGCGTTGCTCGTCTACAGTGTCGAGACTGATGGTCTCGCCCTGCTGCGCCAGGGCAATGAGAGCCAGAATGACGTTGAACTCGCCTCGTCCGACGGCAATGTCGCCACCTGCAGCTGGCACAACCATGGACATGATCTGCGCCTGGTGGTCGGCTGGCAGGCGCGCGGCGGCAAACAGCTTGGCCACGCCGCCAGCATTGACGCGCCCTCCTACGCCATCCTCGCGCGCGACGGTATCAAAGGTCTCGATGTAGGCGTCGGGTACGTCGGAGGCGGGCAGTAAGTTGCGGACAACGTCGGCGCGGGACTGCTTCTTCCTTGGGGTAGGCATATCCCATGGCGAGGTGTCGGCGCCGGCGAGATCGTCGTCGGCGAAGAGGGAGTTGGAACCGGACTTGGACATGGGCTCGTCGTCGAATAGGGAGCGCGAGGGTGCAGCAGAGGTGTTGGACGGAGAATCGGCCGGCGGTGACGAGCCGAAGAGCGACATTGTATGGCGATTATGTATCGGCCGCCAATTGGGGGAGAGGGCAGACAGAGGGCAGAGTGCGGCGTCGGAGATCAAGCGTCGTCAAGGTGATACTGGATCTGGCTGGTGGTACTGTGCTCGTAGCTAGCTTATGCTATGTGACCCGTCTGGTGGTTGTGTGAGTTCCCTTCCAATGACAATTGGATGGCCGGCTGCTGCCTGGGGTTCGAAACAGAGAGAAGGCTAGGTGTCGTAAGTGAGCGAGGCCTCGTAATCGATGCGTAATTGCGAGCTGGAGGAGGGCGGCTGGGAGAGTGACAAGATAAGAACAGGGCGACGACCAAATTCCGGGATCAGTAGGTAGCAGACAAACACCGCGCACAGCGAGCTTACAGCAAGGTATGGTGTGTATACCCAGAGAGCTTTGCGCTGCCTTCGTTGCAACACCAAACTGAAGATCAAGGGATGCACGCGCAAATGGGAGGATGCGAGAGGCCACAATGAGATTCCACGCAACCTCAATTGATGACGCACATATATAGTATATTTATGTGTGTGTAGGTACGTAGGAAAAACAGATGATGGTCCTACGAGCAGGGTACTGGGAGGGGGAAGCCTGAAACTTAGTCTCCAATCCGGCCAGGAGGGCAGAGCTATGAAGCCGAAGCTTGAGACACTCTTCGAGAGTCAAGGCGGGCTGTGGGCTTCGGGAAAGAGACGACGGCAACCACGGGAACGGGGACAAGGGATACTTACATGCCCGTAGGTAGCACGGATAGGGTAGGTATGTAAGCCCAGAAGGCCAAATCCCCATCGTTGGGTCTAAGTTGTCTGTGCCTGACTTGTCTGTGCCTTGGCCTGGGTCCTCCCGTTAGTGAAGGTGAAGTCGTGGGTACTGGCTGTTCCGACTAGGACACCACGCTACAGCGGAGCAAACAGTCCCTGTCGGCGAGAACACGCGCAGCTAGGGGGGGGCACTGGGCTGCGACCAGGGGAGCTTCAGGCACAGACAACTTGGACGTAAGTCATGACTCCAGCCAGTGGAGGTTCCCTGCTCCATCGACAAAGCTTACCTAACACACCAGCCACATTTTTTTCTAGATTTCCACCCACCGCCACGCAGCTACATTGTGTGGCTGTGCGGTCCCGGCGTTTCTTCGCGTGGTTCTGCCGGCTGCGCGACTGCAGCTCCTGTGTGAGGCTCCATTGGAAATTTTGGAGGACCCAAGCTGGAACTGGGCCATCTTGGGCGTGTCACTGTCGTTGACCACCACCACCACACACCAATCGTCACAATGCCTCCACGGTTACTGTCCCCATTGCATCTCACGACATGCTGTAGTCGAGCCCTGCGACCTTCCACGAACCCCCCGAGCCTCGTCTCCCTCTTCGCTGGCCTGTCCATCGGTACCACCACCACCACCGCCACCACCATCCGCAATGCATCCATCCTTGCGAGCTTGAGCGACAACAAGAGCGCCTACAACAAGCGCATCCGCCTGGGTCGAGGTGCCTCTTCCGGTAAGGGCAAGACATCCGGAAGAGGTCACAAGGGTCAGGGACAGCACGGCCACGTCAAGCCGTGGTTCCAGGGTGGCCAGACGCCCTTGATCGTGCAAAGGGGAACCAAGGGTTTTGACAACAAGTAGGTGGTTTTCCCCGCGGTCATGCGCCGCCAATTACGTCGAGATCGACTGAGAGCTATCACTAATATGACCAGGCGCGCCCCTCGCATGTCCAAGCTGAACCTCGACAAGCTCCAGCAATGGATCGACGCAGGCCGCATCGACCCCACAAAGCAAATCACCGTCAAGGAGATTATCGAGTCAGGCCTCGTCGGCACCGTGAAGGACGGCATCAAACTTCTCGGCCGCGGCAAGCAGGACCTGCGCCAGCCCATCGACATCATGGTCTCGCGCGCCTCCGCCTCCGCCATCGATGCCGTCGAGGCCAACGGCGGCAAGATCCTCACGAGGTTCTACACCAAGCAGTCCATCAAGCGCATTCTGCGCGGCGAGAGCGAGAACACGGATAAGCCGCTGCCCGTCGGCAAGGAGTACGTCGCTGGCGTCCTCGCCGAGGCCCGCTCAAAGCCCTTCAAGTACCGCCTGCCCGACCCCACGAGCCGTGAGGACATAGAGTACTACCGTGACCCCGCCCATCGCGGCTACCTGAGCCACCTGCTCAAGGAGGGCGAGTCGCCCAGTCTGTACTTCAAGGTGCCCATCCCGAAAAAGCGTGTGAAGAATGTCAACCGCCACAACAAGCCAGGGAAGAAGGAGCTCAAGGACGAGCTCCTCTGGTAACTGCGAGGCCGACGGAACGCAGAGGAAAGGGGGTTCGAGGTGGTGTGTACAGAGACAAAGCTCGGCGGACGAAGCGCAGAAAGAAAAGAAAAACTGTACTATTATTTTTCCGGCGACATGTATGTACAGACATTGTATACTACCCCATGCAAAGAGCGCTGGGCCTCTTCTCGCTTGCCGTCTTCCGTTTGATATTGACAACAGCCTCTCGTGTACGGGATCAAGCATCAAAATACATAAGCGCAAAGCAGAAGGTGGGGAGAGTTCAGCTCAACGTTCTCCCGGTCGTGGGATTATTACCTACCGGTACTGAGAAGCCCCCATCCACACACGGGCTACGGCACGCACGGGAGGATCTGGCGCACGTGCCGAGGACCATTTGACTCCCGAAAGCGAGTGGGAGGAGAGCGTATCCGTGTCCCGGAACGCTGTGCCGTCGTCTCTGGCAATGCCTTGTTTTCGGATGGCGAGCGCCCACGCGGAGAGCATGAAGAGCGAACGTTTTACGTTTCCTCGCCATATCCCTGCCTCGGGAGTCGGTTTCGCAGACATCATCGACTGGATTGCTGGTCCGGTCATTGGTGCTCCTGTTTCCTTGTATATCAAGAAAATGTTTAAATAGGATGTGGCGGAAACATTTGGGGAAGAGGGGGACGATAGGCTCATTCCTCTTTTGCTTTCAAGACTTACCAGCACCCCTTTCAATAACATGGCCCCTCTCGGTTTTCTACCATCCGTCGGGGTTGCCGCCCTCGTCGCCATCGCGTACAATCTTGCCTGGCCCTTCTTCCCCTTCTTCCGCAAACCTGGGCTTGGCCGCTACCTCAGGGCCGTCGACGGAAAGCCCGCGTGGGCCCTCGTCACCGGCGCGAGCGACGGCATCGGCAAGGGCCTCGCCGACGAACTCGCCCGCCGCGGCTTCAACGTCATCATTCACGGCCGCAACGAAGCCAAGCTGGGTGACGTCCGGCGCGGCCTGGCCCTGCGGCACCCGGGCCGGGAGTTCCGGATCGTGGTCGGCGACGCGGTGGCCCTAGGCGCTGGCGCGCGACCATGGGATGCCATGCTGGCCCCGCTGAAGGACCTCAACTTGAGGGTGTTGGTGAACAACGTCGGCGGCGTGCCGATGGTCCCCGTCCTGCGGCGTCTCGACGAGTCCACGTTGGAGGAGATTGCAGACAACGTGCATATGAACGCCCTGTTCCCGACGCTGCTGTCTGCGATCCTCCTGCCGAGGCTCAGGAACCCGGCGGCGCCCGCGCTTATTATCAACGTGGGCTCGATTGCCGACATGGGGCTGCCGCTGCTGTCGTTCTACGGTGGCTGCAAGGCGTACCTGGTCGCGCTGTCGACGAGTATGGTTCGCGAGCTCGCGATCGCCCAGGCGGATGTTGAAGTTCTCGGGATGAGGGTCGGGGCGGTGGCGACGAGGAGAGAGTTGATGCCGCCGCGGGTGTTCTGGCCCTCGGTCCAGACGATGGCAGAGAGCATCCTGGACCGGGTTGGATGTGGGCGCGCGGTGGTGGTGCCGTATTGGGGGCATGCGCTACAGATGTGGCTCGCGGACTTGGTGCCGGCGGTCTTGGAGGAACCGCTGGTCAAGATGATTATGGGGAGACTAAGCTTCTTGGAGAAGAAGCTATACAGCAAGGAGAAATGAGCCCGGACTCTGCGAGACCAATATTGGTAGGGGAGAATATGAATGTGGTAGTATATATGACGAGGCTATGCCATCTGGGAGTTGGACGACTGATTCTGATGGTATTGGCAATGTGATATTTGAGCTGGCCATTTCGGCGCAACTGAGGGGAGCAGCATCTTGTCATAAACCTTGCCCACCATTGTAAACGTTGAAGGGTGTTACAAGGTGGAACATGATATTTTGTTGGTCGATTATAATGATTCTAGCAGCAAATGGCCCAGACCTTCAACCCACCATGCCTCGCGTAATCAACAGCTGACTGGGTATATGATGTACTTGGGAGATAAAAAATTCATTTTTCAAGGGGGATTCTGGAAACCACATGAACATGACGGCAATATATACCAACAGAAAACGGCACACCATCTAGTCGACGATAGTCAACTATGCGGAGAACAGTTGAAATCCCGGCGAACCGACTGCCACTATTGCTATTGTAGTTTAAGCTTAACATCGATGCATCGCGATCAAGGCAATACATGAGGCCGTTGGCGTTCTTCAAGGGAGGCGAGATATGCTCGACGAAGGGGTTGTGTGTGTGTGTCTGTGTGTGGCTTGAGCGGACAGCGCAACGGCATGTGGAACGACACGCTGAGGCATTGGAGGTTAAAAAAGAGCAGCAACCACAAGTCGAAGCAGCAGGGTACACTAGTCATACGTTACTTTGTACAACCCGGCTAATTGATATGGTTGAAGTCATGGTTATCCAGATGTGAGCTAATGGGACGGATATGAGCTCATGAAAGTTCACCACAGGTACGAAAAATACGTATCGGTTGCGTTGAGCAAGAACAATCAGGAGCCGCTGTCACGTGGGGGGGGGGGGGGGGGGGGGCGGGATGGTACCTAGTGTGGCATGCGCTGAAGGGGGGACGAACAGGTTGCGCGATTGGACGGGAATGCCGCTGCTATAGGGACAGAGCTGGATATAATTACCTTGGAATTATCTTGGAATTACCTTATGTAGCTTGCCTCGGCACTTGGGTAGGTAGTGTACCCTAAGGAAGGAATACAGGTACATAATGGTTTGGAGGCAAGCTTCAAGGCTAGGACACCTGGCTGTCGGGTAACCAATATCAAGTTGGCTCTTGTTTCCTCCGGAGGTCGCTGGCATTGGCGCAAGTGGGAAATTGGCATTAGGGAAAGGGGATGCGGTGCAATGCGATGTTGACGGCAGCTGGCAGCTGGCAGCTGGCAGGGCAATGGGAAGCATTAAGAAAAGGAATTCCCTTGGGCCACACAATTCGCAGTGATGATGAGATGCAGAAGGTGTCGAGAAGGAGAGGAAGGTCCAGATTGCCTCGAATCCTGCACCTACCTGGGTACCTAGATAGGTACGGACAAGGTGGTAGTACGTACAGCAAAAGAAGGGATCCACATCCTCCTTTCCGCGCTCCTTGGCAGTATAATGTATCCAATGAGTGACGTACCTGGCTCAGTCGAGATCCACTAGAGCCCCCCGGTACCCACTATGGTTTCCTTGGACTTGGCCGGAACTCGTTGCAGCTCCCCGTCCAGATGCGGTCCAGTGCGGTCTGGTCTCTGGCACACCCGTCAGACAGATACATGTAAAAAAAAAAAAAAGGGACGTGATTGGGGAAAGGCAAGGTGGCCCAAGGCCGGTCGAAGCAAAGATGAAGCAACAAGACAACCCGAAGATGGGAGGAGGGTGGATAAGGGTGCAACGGGTGGGTGTTGGAGGGTGGCAGTGGCAGTGGCAGTGGCAGTGGCAGTGGTAACGGCCATAATTGTACAAATAAATACCTAACAGGAACAGGGGCTTTTTGTCTTGTTGGCCATCAACAAGGCAAGTGAACAAAGGAGCGCTAACGGATCGAATACCGGTTGGCGGACCCTTTTCCCCTTGTTATGCCATATCTTTGACACCTTGCCCTCGTGTCCTTTCAGGTTTGTTCTGCATCGCCACCCTATCTACCCAGATAGACCACCTAGGTACCTACTTAGGTATGCGACTTATCTGAGATACCTTGGTAGGTACATTACCTACCCAGGTACCTTCTTGCCTGCCACAGGTATATACTATGTAGATAGGTAGCTATGTACCTGTATTTCAGCGTGCGCTTCTCTTCCTCTGTGCCCCCACTGTCCAAGAGTCTCCCCGGTCCCCCCCCCCCCCCGGGCTTCTTATCACCAAAGACAAGGAGTAATACCTAGAAGAAGAAGGGGAGAGGAAGGGGGGGAAAAGAATCCCCATACCAGCCGGCTGACCTTAACTCTACTTCTCATCCGTATCCGTGACATCTGTCAGCCTCTTTTCCCACACCCCCCCTAAAAAAAAGTTGGTTTCTTTCCCGATTAACCAGCCCAATCCCTTTCTTCTCCCCTACTTCCTCCAACTTTACGAACCCACCCCTCTCTGTCGACGAACTTCCCTCTCCAACCTCCCTCCGCCTCCTCCTCCTACTCCTTCTCCTCCCCGACCCGACCACGAAAGACAACGACAGCGTTTGGGGTCGCGCGCTTCTCTCCTCTCGTGCGAACGCCCACTGGCCTACGTCGCCTGCCGAGAGACATCTCCTCGACGCAGTTGGCCATCGACTTCTGCTCAACCCGTCGCTCTCTGGGGGTTTCTGTCGGCACGACAGGGCAGTCAACCATCCGACGTGCCATTGACCATTGCGCGCTGGTTTGCTGTGCCGTGCGCCGCTGCCGCATCCGCATCCACATCTCACACCCTCCATCAGGGACAGCCCCGGCCCCGTCGCTACTCGTGTGCTGATACCCGTGAATCCCTGGACGCGTAAGGTAGCCTGAAGACTGTTTAGTCTCAGCTTCTCCCGTCTTCGGTCAGCTCAGCACTCCACCATCAACACAACCACCACCACCGTAGCTGAAGCCGACATCGACGCCTTGCTCGAGGGAAACTTCGTCCCTGCCGCTCGTTCACGTCCCCTTTGCAATTCGCATCGTCCGTCTCTCCCCCTCCGGTCAACTGGAACGATCCCCTTACTCTATTGATTTGATTTTCGCTGCTTCGACGAGACGCAGCCTTGCTTTTTCGTTCGCGGTTTGCGAGTTCATCCAAAAGTCTTAATCGCACCCCAAGCCACCCTCCCACCCCTTATCCGATCCTAATCAACCTCGACACACGTTTCCCACCCAGCGCCACCCTCGGAGCCATCCCATCTCTCCAACCCGCCTTTCAACGCCCGCTTGAGCACCTGACCGACCGACTTCTTCTTCCCGTCGCACCTCTCTCTGCTGGCCACGGTACGCCGTAGCCGCAACCATGGATCTCTTTAGACGGGCCGTCAAGGCCATCCCCTCAACAACGCCGCAACTGCCCACCGCCGACGAGAAGCCTGCCACGAAGCATGCTCGCCAGAACAGACTGACGTCGCGCCTCGCCTTCTTCAGAAGACCTCTGCGGCTCCGCGGCAATTCGAGCATCTCGGTTCCTCTCGGCGTTGTCATCCTCTTTCCTCTGATCGTCGTCATCCTCATCCTCGTACTATTCGTCAGACACCCCAGCTCGCCTGGGAGGATATTGATGCCCGCGGGTGCGCCCCCCGCCATCAGGTATGTACAATCTCCTCCCCGTCCATTATCGACAAGTCTGACGTGGATTTCGCGCAGGAAAATCAGTGAAGAGCATGACAAGGTGTTCGTTACCGGATGCCTCGAGCCCGACACGAGCAGACCCAGGGCCAACGGTGCCTTCGTCGTCCTGGCCCGCAATAAGGAGCTGGACGGTGTCATCCAGTCGATCAAATCCATCGAGCGTCACTTCAACCGCTGGTACCACTACCCTTATGTCTTCCTGAACGACGGCGACTTCAACGAGACCTTTAAGGAGGTCGTCAGGAACTACACTTCTGCCCCCGTCGAGTTTGGCAAGGTTGGCCCTGATATGTGGGGCTACCCCGACTGGATTGATCACAAGGTCGCCAAGGAGGGTATCGCCAAGCAGGGCGACGCCGCCGTCATGTACGGTGGCTTGGAGAGCTACCACGCCATGTGTCGTTTCTACTCTGGGTAAGCAGGCCTTTTCACAGGCGATGGCTGTTCGGGCACTAACATCTGTCAGATTCTTCTACAAGCACGAGCTCCTCGCCAAGTACAACTGGTACTGGCGTCTTGAGCCCGAGATCAAGTACTTCTGTGACATTACCTAGTAAGTGGTGGCTCCCGGGGCCGCTAGCCCAGTTGCTGACCATCGCAGTGATCCCTTCTGGGCCATGATCGACGCCAACAAGACTTACGGCTTCACCATCGCCGTCAAGGAGCTCCGCGAGACTGTTCCCAATATCTTCCGCTACGCCTCCGCCTACAAGCGACTCAAGGGCCTCAAGTCCAAGGGCTTGTGGGAGATGTTCGTTGACCCTGTCGAGAAGAAGGAGGAGCCGCCTACCGACCAAAGCCCTCTCCCTGAGGAGGTCCTGCGCAGCGACCCGAACCGCAACAACCTTCCCGAGATTGACCCCGAGGCCATGGAAGGCGAATCGTACAACATGTGCCATTTCTGGTCAAACTTTGAGATTGCCAGCCTTGACTGGTTCCGCAGCAAGGAGTACGAGGAGTTCTTCGAGATGATGGACCGCAGTGGAGGCTTCTGGATGGAACGCGTGAGTCTATGGATGCACACGACATGGTCGGGACTGAGCTAACAAACGTAGTGGGGTGATGCCCCTATCCACTCCTTGGCTGCCGGCGCCCTCCTCGCACCCCGCGACATCCACTACTTCCGCGACTTTGGTTACCGGCACACCACCATCCAGCACTGCCCTGCGAACGCCCCGGCCAGACAACTGCCCAGAGAACCCTACCTTGAGAAGACCACGCTCGACGAGAAGAAGCGTATCGAAGAAGACAAGTACTGGGAAGACTGGGACGCTGAGAAGGAGAACGGAGTCGGATGCAGATGCAGATGCGACACAGACATTGTCGACGTCGAGGGCAAGGAGGGATCGTGCCTCGCCGAATGGGTTGATGTCGCAGGTGGATGGGCCAGCCCGTAATTGCAAAATAACAACTGCAACAGCGACGGCACAACATCGCATATGATGTCACGAGTCACGCCCACGGCGCATGCTTCTGGCACCAGTTACGGGGGAAACGACGAAAAAAGGAATTGCATATTGACGAAGTGGGGACATTGAACCCTCTCTGTCTTCAGCGGGTTTCAGTCATGTTTGCACGCGTGTGTAGCGGCATTGCCAGTATCGGTCTTGCTCGAGTTCTTTGGGAGTTAAAGGGTATCAAAGTGTTCGGTCATTGTCCATAATCAGCTTTTTCTTCATTCTTTACCACACACCACACGAGGGATTGCGACGCATGAAATAGAACGGTGGAAAGCTACAGAAACGACTGGCTTGGGTCATCATCTCCCAGGCTAAGCGAAGTCTATTTGGTTTTGGTTCTTCAAGAGAAGGGGGAAGAGAGACAAAGGGGCTAAACAAACCTCTTTTCTGCATGCACAAGGATACCAATGGGACGCGAAAGCAACGAAATATGGACGTCTATTGTCAGTATTAGAGAGGAGTGCATGCTAGAACGGCCTAGCCCTCCGGCGGAATTGTATATATGTGGCATCCTAACTCGCCTACCTTGATGCTGCTGCTGCTGACTCTTTGCCCATGTCGGTGAGGCATGTGTGATTGTGTTGTATTTTAGACAGGCCTCTTACTAATGGTGAGGCTGTCAGCACCATGTAGTCAGTCTCTGGGATTTGACTGCATGCACACCGAGAACTTTGAATAAAGGAGGCGCCCCCCCGCCATTCACACCTGGACATGACTACTTGGTTACTTTTTGATCCTAAATTATGTCTGAAAGCACAAAGAATCTCATCATCTAATGTGGGAGGGTTCAATAGCTGGAAAACTGGCTTTTGGCAGATTTATAGTTTTCACTTTGGAACCGGGCCCAGCACTCTGCCACGCTGATTTGCATCAAATTATGCCGAGTATCTACATCTTTGCAATAAGATATGCTCATCGTCTTTCTCTTTCTCTCTTTTTTTCCCCTTTCGTTTTACCTCACTTGCTCACAGGCGGGCGGGTGGGCATCTCATAAGGAGCAGCAGGCCCATCACCATGAGGGGTCCGACTGATCCGTCACGGCGCCGTGGCTGGCATCTCCAACCAACCGCGCGTACTTGCCCAGCACGCCCCTCCTCACGTGGGGCGGCGGGGCCTTCCACTCCTGCCTCCGCCTCTCGAACTCGGCCTCGTCGACGTCGACGGCGTCGATGCTGTTCGTCTCGGCGTTGATGGTGACGGTGTCGCCGTTCCGGACGAGCGCGAGCGGCCCGCCGACCGCCGCCTCGGGGCACACGTGGCCGACGATGAAGCCGTGGGAGGCGCCGCTGTACCGGCCGTCCGTGACGAGCGCCACGTTGTCGAGGCCGGCGCCCATGATGGCCGCGCTGGCGCGGAGCTGCTCCGGCATGCCGGGTCCGCCCTTGGGGCCCTCGTAGCGGACGATCAGCACGAGGTTGCCGTCCTCGCGGCGGATGGACCCCGCCGACAGGGCGGCGTCGAGCTCGTGCTCCTTGTCGAAGACGCGGGCGGCGCCCGTGAAGGAGAGGCCCTCCTTGCCGGTGATCTTGGCGACGGCGCCCCCCGGGGCGAGGTTGCCGCGGAGGATGCGGATGTGGCCCGTCTTCTTGATCGGGTCCGAGAGGGGGCGGATGATCTTCTGGTTCGGGTCGAGGGACGGCCAGTCGGCGACGTTCTCGGCGAGGGTGCGGCCCGTCACGGTCATGATGGTGCCGTCGATGAGGCCGGCGGCGACGAGCATCTTGAGGACGGACGGGGTGCCGCCGACCTTGTAGAGGTCTTCCATGTAGTACTGACCCGACGGCGCGAGGTCGGCGAGGAAGGGGACGCGGTTGCTGGTGCGGTCGATGTCGTCGATGGTCAGGGGCACGTCGGCCGTGTTGGCCATGGCGAGGAAGTGCAGCACGCCGTTGGTGGAGCCGCCGAGGATCATGGTCAGCACGAGGGCGTTCTCGAAGGCCGCGCGGGTCATGAGGTCGCGCGGGCGGAGGCCCTTCTCCATGACGACCTTGATGGCCTCGGCGGCGCGCTCGCACTCGCGCGCCTTTTCCGGAGAGAGGGCCGGGTACGACGAGGACCCGGGCAGGGAGAGGCCCATGGCCTCGATGGCGGTGGCCATGGTGTTGGCAGTGTACATGCCGCCGCAGGCGCCGGCGCCGGGGCAGGCGTGCTGCTCAATGTCGTCGAGGACGTCGGAGGGGGTGCGGCCCTCTGCGCCCGGGTTGCACTTGGCGTGCAGGCGGTCGTAGGTGAAGGCGCCGCGGGCCTCGTAGCAGGTGCTGATGTTGATGGGCTTCTCGAGGAGGTCCGAGTGGCCCTTCATGATGGTGCCGCCGTAGATCATGATGAACGGCCGGTTGTGGCGCGCCGCGGCCATGATGGTGCCAGGCATGTTCTTGTCGCACCCGGGGATCGAGATGTTGGCGTCGTGGTGCTGCGCGCACGTCACGGACTCGATGCTGTCGGCAATGATCTCACGGGTCTGCAGGGAGAAGCGCATACCTGGGTGTGTGTGTGTGTGAGAGGGTGTGCTGAAAGTATTGTGATTCGAGATCTGGGAGGGTGCAGACATACCTTCTCCTCCCATTGTGATGGCGTCTGACACGCCGACGGTGTTGAACTGCCATCCGAGCATGCCCTGCTTCTCAACAGCCTTCTTCACGATCTTGCCAAAGTCAAGCACTGCTTCCTGTTAGTCATGTTGCTCCTCAGCGGCAGTCTCCCTCAATATGTATGTGCTTACGATGTGTGCTGCGCCGTCGTGTTAGTCCTTGTCATCATGAGAAGCAAGCTCGCTCGCTCGGTGAAAGGTAGATACATACTTGCAAGGGTTGCCCTCCCACCAGACCGTCGCGATACCGACATGCGGCGCCTTCTTCATCATTTCCTTGTTCGGCACGCCGGCGCCGTACAACATGGCCTGCGGACACCGGTCAGCCATCTTTCCGTCCGCGTTTCTGCAACCCTCCCAGGCGGAGCAACACCCCGCAATCGCCGGCCGCGACCCCACATTTTCCGTAACCCCACGACCAAGCACACACAAGAGAGGCGGAAAGAAAGAGAGGGGGGGGGGGGGGGCGGCTTGTGTCTCCATACCTGTGCTCCGGGAAAGTCATGTTCCCTCGTGATCGTGTGCGACCAGCGGTTCAACTGGCCGTCAATCGCGTGCTCCTGGAACTGGATGTAGTCGTGGCTGTCCTTGTAGCCAGTCTCCACGGCGCCGCTGGGGACGTGGTCTGCTTGTTCACCGTTCATCGTCAAAAAGGCACTTTGTGTTTTTTTATCCAGGCGGGGAAAAGTGGTGATTTGTTTCAGTTGCGAGTCAGGAGGGAGAAAGACTGGTGTTGTGTCGAGGACCTCAAAAGTACGCGGGAACCCGGAGAGTAAAGCTATCGTAGCTACCTTATCTACCCGGCGGCGGCGTTGCAACGAGAAGGAGGCGTTTGTCAACAAAGATGAACGGAGAGAGAGGGTGGGAGGGAGAAGAAAGGATTCAGTTCTTAGGAGCTAGCTAAGCGTCGAGAGCAAAGACGCGACTAGGGGGGAGGCCACCTCTTTTGAACCTTATCCCACGCATAGAGTTCGAGATCACAGCTCTCGGAAGCAGTTGGCATATTTTGACAATGCGGGCAAAAGTGGGGGGAACAACGGCAACACTGCATACCCCTCGCTCTGTGATTGCAATACATGGACTACGGAGGGGGGACATCGTCAGTGTTCCACCGAACCTCGGGGGGGAAGCAGACCCGCTCGGGACCCCTCCTCAACCCGGTCCTGCTTATTGCACGCGAGCCCATTGGGAGGACTGCTGACGGAGATGAGGCGGCTCGAAGCTCTCTCAGTCGGCTGATCCTAGCCAGCTGCGGCCGGAGAGGAGGTCGGGTATGGTGGGGTGTAGTCCGCGGGGGGTGTGTGGAGTCAGGATGGGTCAACGGGTTCCAATTGACTTTTGGCGGGAGAATTGAACGGGAGTTGGGGGGGGGGGGGGGGGATGGATATATGGTGAAGAGAGGGGTAACGAGATGGAGAAGACCCGTCGACGGCTATGTCGGAAAAAGGACTGCCATGAGGTGAGGGATGCCGGAAAATGGCACTTGGCTACACGGGATTGTCATCTCCCAATCGTGGAGGTTAGGAGTCCAAGAGACATGTGACATTGTGTAAATATATCCGTACCCGGAGCCTCGACTGCATAGGCGCCGTCATTCTTTCCGATGGACGTTGTGTTCCACAACCCTTATGGCTGTTCGTCGACCGCCATCACTCGTGTTGCCACAAATCAGGAGATAGCCCAACAAGTAACGAGACGTCAAAGAAAGAGAGGGTCAAGGGTCAATGATGTCGACTGAACGGGCGACTGACTGCATGGCGCCAGTCTGTGGCACAATGAGCCGATGAATGGGGGGCAGACAACGCAGCGCCGGCTGCCCGTGGGCATGTTCTCTGCTACGTTAGCGACCTCAGTTAGCTCACCTTGGCGCGGGTGGTAAAACCAAGATACACCCATCATGACTGGTTCCTGGACCGGGGGGATGTTGTTGCTGCTGCTAGCATTCGAGCGATGCATGATGCGCCGGGGACAAGTCACAGTCTGGACGCAATGTCCGTACTTGTGGGTAAGAAGATCTTATCGCTACCCCCACCTAATACGTGAGGGTGTTCCCCCCTTGAGAGAGAAAAAAACCAACCACAAAGGTGTGCATGTTAAGCGGTAGTTGGCTGCCGGCGAGTTACATTGGATGCCGTTTCCCGACGTGGATCAGAGTAGCGAGAGTCCGAACAAATCAGAGAGTAGTGAAGGCCATTACATAGTCTTTTTAACCTTTTTTTTTTTTTAAAATCTTTTAAACTTGTTTCTTCCTCTTCACCGCTATATAAACGTTTTCGACGAACCCTCTTGTCTCAAGGCGGGAAGACACCAGGCATGTAATGGCTACGCTTTTGACTGGTGGTGGACGTAAAAGACCCAGCAAAATCTACCCGAGGGTGGAAGGAATCTGGGGCCGAGGAACGGGTCATCGTCGGTTCGCGACTCGGGGATTGAGGACCGACACTCGGGGTCTTTTGGTACGAGGCACAGGTTGGTTACCACTGGTCAACGGCCTCTCCGCACCCCTTTCTTCGTGGCTCGCCCTCCCCGCACCCCGAGGCTCGAGCGGTCGATGGACGGATGGTGACTGTCTGGGCGCGGGGTTGCTTCGACGCAACCTTGCAAGGAAATCTACCTGGCCTATTAATACGCACACTTGTCTATCGTATGCAGCGTGTGCATTGTGCGTCCGAGTCGGATGCGCGAGTGCTGCTGCTGCCGGTGGAAGAACGTGTATGCAGGCAACACCGGCTCTGCAACAAAACCGTTTCTTGGATGGAAGGGGATTTGTTGGGGCGGTTTCGAAGAGCGGAAACAACAAACGTGCCAACAACCTTGTTTTGTTCGTGTGAGGTCAGGAAAAGGTCAGAGAGAGTGAGGGTGAGACTCGGCTCGGATTTGATCGAGACTCGCTGGCAGGAATGGACCCATGTTCCCTGACGCCGCGGCCCTTCGGTCCTCTAACCAGCGGTATGGGATGAAAATCTGCTGGATACTCTGTTTGGATCGACACGGAAGACGGGCTGGCTGGTGTTGGAAGTAGGATGGAAAAAATGGATGAGGAAGAGAAGGGTGTTCGTCGTGCCACCCGCATCATCCGAGCTATCCGCCCAACTCTGCTCGTTTCAAGACCCAGATGGATGGCGCAGCCCATGACGAGGCCCTCTTCCCTTTGGTCCCCTATTTGTGGCCGCTGCTGCTCGTCGTCATAACAGGTCCAGGGACGATGCTTGGCGCCCGTGCAGCCCAGCCTGCCCCAAACCATTTATGCTTCACGAGATGAGAGGAAAGAAGGTTTCGGAGGAGGGTCAAGTGATGCAGATCAGTGGGGACCGACGGCAAAACAACCAGAGGCTTGGGGGGTTTTCAGCCCAATATGGGCGGACGGCTAGGTATCGCTGTCGAGAAGGGGGGGGAGGGTGAACAGAAGAAAACCCGAGCTGGACCAAGACAGAAGTATATCTGGACAGCTAAGGTACGTACTCACTCATCCGAACTTGGACTTCATGCAATCGGTGATTCCGATATCTCTCTCTCTCTCTCTCTTACACACACCCAAGCACACTTCGTACTCGACTGACCTGTGATCCAAAATAGACTGTCCAAGCTGGAAACCTGAAGTTTCCGCGGGGAAACCATGGTCGTGTTTTATCCCATATTTTGGCTGCAGCCATCTCACGAGACTCCAGCTTGCCAATGGGTTTGATCGACCGTATGTCCGTGTATGGAAGTTTGTTCTAAAGCAACATTCGCGTCTGCCTTTACATCGGCGACTGCGACTGGGGCCTGGACGATCAAAGCCCTGCCAGACGGTGTCGACTATTAGTCACGATACCATGTTAACCTCGTCGAGGGGATTTCAGAGAATGCCGAAAAAGGGTAAGAAACAAGGAAGTAAACACACAGCGGGTAATAGGAAGCGTCAAAACACCACGCACGCTTGGGCAAACTTGTTTCCCTTTACCATCGTAAGAATCCATCCATCCTTGTTAGCAACGAGAACACACAAACACACACTCACTCGGCACCGAGGACGTGACATCACCGTATCCAAGACAGATTTCTCTCAAAACTATGACTTCTCAATTCGCCGTTTTGAAATAGAAATAGGGAGGAAAACAGAAAAAGCAAAAAGCAATCGTCATCTGCGTGAAATCTCACTCGTTGACCCGGAGGGCCAACTTTCTATTGTACAAATAAACCTGCCAAAACACGTCTAGTAGGAAAATGCATATCGGCGCGAGGCTGTGTGGTTCGTGTCATCACTTCATTTCTGCAACGGGTTGAAAAGATATCCCCAACAAGATGGAAGATATGTGAAATCTCATCCACACTGCTCGTTGTGCCTGACCACCCCGTTTCAGGAATGCGGCTCTCGGTTCCATCACATGGGCCTCCTAGATCACTAGGGTTTTGCCTAGCTGACTCGAAGCAAACAAAATTGAAAATTGGAAAGAAAAAAATCAGAAAAAGAAACCAGAACAAAAAAAGGAGAGGGCCCTTCCTCCGAAGCCCCCCAGACAACCGTTCCCCCCTGCGCCGGATATCGCTCGCAACTGTATTCGCAGTTTCCCTCCATGTTGTTTGATCGTGTACGATCTAGAAAATTGGGTGCCATCCAAAGCCCAAGACAAATAAGGCGGCTCGCGTGAGAGAATCCCATAGTAGCAAAGAACAAGGCTGTCGGCTTGATGCTGTAGTCTTGTTTTGCTCTCATTCAAGGAAAGCATAACCCCCCCCCCCCCCCCAAAGTAAGGTCAGACGCAAAAAGGTGAAGTAATACACTGGTAGAAGTAATTAAGGTACGGGACAGGGTCAAAAGCCCGAGTTGGCTCAGGCTCCGACACGCTGTTCCTCCATGCGTCTCACCAACTCGCGCTCGCGGGGGGAGCGCGGGTTGGCGTCAATGCCGAGAATAGCAGAGATACGGGTCTTGTCTTGGGGCTTGTCGTAGCTTTCACGATCCAGGTTGTCAGGGCTGGAAGTGGGGGTGATGGGCGTGCTAGCCTGGTTCTGGCCGCAGCACGCGCCGTTCTTCCATGCCTGCTCCAGGACGACAGGGCTGGCACCCGGGCCGTAGTCGTTGGCAATGGCAGCCCAGAATGAAGCGCGGTGAGCGGTGTAGACGGACTGCAGGCGGTTCATGTCGACATGTTGGTGGCTGATGGGGGGTTGAGCAGGGGGGAGAGCACAATTAAGACGCAGCGGCGGCGTCATAGGGAGGCTGCTGGACATAGGGTGGAAGGAAGGATGGGGGAGAGCGGCGCTGTGAGGCTCGGGGAGAGGGGTGGGGTATCCTCTGTTGGGAGAGGACGTGCGAGCCGGCATGGTCATGCAGACGGGCTTGGGGAGAATGGCTGGAAGCCGAGGAGAAGCACCGTTGCCCATAATGCTAGAGAGTTGCATAGGAGCGGGAGAGACGGGGGCGTAGCTCGTCGCGCGGCCGGGAGGAGACACAGAGCGAGGGGTCGGCTCTCTGATCGGAGAAGGCATGGTCGGTTGCATGACGGGGGAGTGGTTCGCAGAGGAACCAGAAGAGACCGAAGTCGTGCGCTGCTTGCGGCGGTTGCTGCCGTGGCTAAGCTGGTGGTAGTGAAGGCGGCATGCCAGCTCAGTCTTCTTCAAGTGAGCGGCAATGTGCTTGTAGGGCATCTTTTGAAGACGAGTCTGGAGAAGATAGACTTCCTGTTCAGAAGTTAGAGGGGTTCTAAGAGCGTGGGTCGAAGCCACGAGTTTCTGGTGAGACATACCTCATCCTCGCTCCATGCTCTACCGCCGCCGGTCGAAGCCGCCTTGCGGTTCTTGGTGACACCGTACTCATGACGATCCATGGCGTCGGAAGTAGGAGTGTATGTGGCCGTGTGTGGCGCCAATTGCATCGTGGGAGACATTTTTTTCCTCGTGAATTCGTTTCCGAACAGTCAATGTCGATGTGTAGGTAGCTCTCTCCGGGTAAAGTAGACTTTTTTGGGGGGGTGCGGCTGCGGCGTAATCCTGGAAGCTGGGGTTTTTGATATAAAAGAAGACAGAACCTTGCTGCCGACGAATCGAAAGTTATAAATTGGTTGTGAAAAATGAGGAATTCCGTCTGGGAGCTTGCAACAACGAAGTCGGCCTTCTGCAGATCCGTCAAGGAGAGGAAGCGGATAGGCGTTGTTTGAGGGGAGGGGAATGGTCCGAAAGAAGCGAAATTGTTCGTTTGAATAAACAGAATAGGTCAAGTGTATTGACAAAAAAGGTGGTGTTCAAGAAGCGTAGTCAAATGAATGTGTGCAGCCAAGCCAGTTGGACAATGAAGGAACGCGAAACCCTAGCTGCGGGAGAAGAAAAGAAGGACACGCAACTGCGCTTCAAGAAGAGGAAGAAAAGGGATGTTGATGATGAACCCAAGAAAGTAGTGAAGGTAAACAAACAGAGGAACGGGAAGTCGAGATGGGGGGGGAGAGGGCAGAGATAAAGTAATAATGCCAGCTGCAGCCATATTGGGGTCTCTGACAAGTGGTGGGCCGTGACAAGACAAGCAAGGCCTGCAAGCATTAGACCGTCCCTAGACGGGTACCACCCACTCACACACACACGCCCTGAAAAGAAGAGCGGGTAGGCAGGCATAGCAAACATTGCCTCATCATGTTCGGGCGCTGGTACATGCAAGACAGGGGTCTAGCACACCGTCCAGTCCAGCCCTGTTGCAGATATTCAGCAATGATGCCAGCAAACCCTGGAGAAGATGGGGTGGATGTGACAGAATTAGCAGAGCATAACGTTTGGTCTGATCCGCCACCTGCTGCCATCCCCATTTTTCGAAGGGAAGGGAAGAGACAAGGGAGGGGGGCAAGAAAGCGAACAGGACACACGCCCATGGCGGCTTGCAGTAGTCTACTATGGTAGTACATAGTAGGTATCCGTAGTAGTATACATACACTACAAGCCACACACCCTGTCCCGGCCGCACCCCTGTACGCAACTTGTTCGAGGGCAGGCCCAAAAAGAGGAGACGGACGAGGAACATGCATGGGTGCGAGATTATGGATCCGGTGAGAGATGAACGTGTGTCTCAACCGGCCGCCATGATGGATTGAGAAGTGAGCAGCCACTTGTGTCAACCAAGAGGCCAGCCAAAGCGAAATGGAAAACCGCTGGTAACGAGCTGGAGCCTCGGAGGCTGGCTGGCTGGGGTGTAGATTGGGGAAGCATAGACCAGGCCAAGGGGGCCGTTGAAGAGTAAAACGGAAACCGAGGGATGAAAAAGAGGAGGCTCTTGTAAACCTGGAACGTGGGAGGGAAAGAAAAAGCCACCAAACCCGTGTGAGGTAGCGTCCGGTTACCGGAAAGAGCGGTGTTACGCCTCCAGTTTGTTTCTCGGCCTTCTTCGTCGAGGGAGAGTCCTGGGATCTATTCAGATTCAGAGCCTCAAGTGACTGGGTAGCAAAGTTGCACTCGCAAGCATGTCGACGACCCGCCAGCCGGTTGGCATTTTTTTTTTTTTTTTTGGTTTCGGCCACGGCACATGGCCAGTGGGTCTGGTTCATGACTGGTGAAGAGGAGCTTCCATTCCTTCTTCTGCTTCTTCTTCTGAGATAGCGTGGCGCGCCGCATAGAATATAGGGAGGGGCATGGCATAGGATGGGCACGATATGGCCGAAGGGTGTTTGGGATGCGCAGCTTGACTCGAAAACAAAACGACCACTCCCCAGACACGCTACGACAAAGTCGACACCGCCAGGCTGGGTCGGACGGCTCGCAGCAAGGAAGAGGATGTTACTATTTGCGGTCGACATCTGTTCTCGAGTGACGGACAATAAAGCATACGTCAACTCGCCGTCGATCTCATGGAGGGAGGGGTCTGGAGGTTCTGTTAAGGATGACACAAGAACAGTTGGAATGAAGAGAGCGAGGTGCTGCCAGAGTAGAGTGCAAAGCGCAGACAGGCAGGGAACGGACAGGTACGCGCGACGCACAAGTTCGCAGCATATGCCCAATCGAGAAGAGGGGGGGTATCAAAAAAGGTTGTCGTCTCTGCGTCGGATCTCTCGGTCTGTGATGTGAGCAGTGCGGCGGCGAGGCAAAAGGCGACCCGTGCATATCATCAACGTCGTCGTCGTAGTCGTCACGTGTAATAGGTATTCGACGTCCGGCATGCTACCCGCCGTGCTCATGTTTTTTCTTTTCTTTTTCGTATGTTTCTTATTGCTGTTGTTGTTGCAACAGCTCGGTGGTTGAGGCGTTTGTGATGGTGGTGATGGGCATCGTCTGGCTCGTCCTGGTCGTGGGGAAAGTGACCCTGTGTCTGAAGGTTGTGTGAGGATGTCTGTCTGACGTTTGATGGCGGGGTCCAGCGATGGACGGGTACGTGTTACAGAGGCGCGCCTGCGACTGCTATTGGCCCGTTTTCGCGACCACCCCCTGGATCCACCTGGCCTGCAGTCAGGGTACGTGGCCCGACATTACGAGACTAATCCGAATCGGGCTAGGTCAGGAACAGAAGCTGCTTCCACCCCAGTCAGCCTCCCCAACCGCAGAAGGGAAGGAGGGGAACGTACTTCCCAAAACAGAAGTCCATATTTCCTTCCTCTATTACTACACTACGTACCTACCTTACTTCGTACATACCACCGTACACTACTACGGATGCTAGCGCATACATTATATGACCTTTAATATACACAAGTAATCGATTAATCGGTGCGGCGGGGCCGAATACCCATGTCCCAGTAATACGGTAACTAGGTAGCGTACCACCGTCCATGAATGAGGATCCCTCGTTGTCCCTTGGTGTAAGAGGCTCCTAAAAGGCAGTCTTCCCGCCAGTGCCGCTCGCTCCTAGGTAGGTTGGTAGGTTGGTACCACCTCGATAGGCTCAGACCCGATACTACGCAACCCGGCTGTTTGGTTTGGTGTCACGGCTTCTCCCCTTCACGAAGAAAATGTTGTTTTCGCCGTTGTATCACTAGGCGGACCTCGTTGGTAACCGTCTCGAACTAAGAGCCGCCCGGCTGGGCTGGGCTGGGCTAAGCCAGGTCGTGCGTACGGATACACGTCCCATGATCCATCAGATCGACCATCTCCAACACCCCCTCCCCGGAACTATACCTACTGCAGTGTACTATGTTGTTTTAGAACCACCTCTACCGAGGTGCTGGCGCGTCCAGGTGTCTGGAATCCTCCCAGGCGATCCATTGGCATTGCCATTGGTGTTGGCATCGAAACATGAGGCTGTTTCTTGTTCGTCTGTCCCTGACGACGCCTCGGCCCTGGCGTCAAAGGTCGGTCTCCGTCCGTCACTGTCCCGCTCTGCAGCCATTGGACCGCTCCGCATAGCGGCATGTTTGTCGATATTGACTGCCCTACACGACAGCATCCCGATGCATTGAAGTCTGAATTGCGTGCATGCATGCATGCACCCACATGGATACTTTGATTAGCTTACCCACGCCTCCATTCGTGCGCCGTCAAGTCGCCGTACTAGTGTAAATCTAAATGCAATGAGGGGCCGGCAGCAAACGCGGCTGCTGCTATCCTCAACACCTGCCAACCGTTTTCCGAAATTTCTTGCGTCTGCCCAGCCATATCCACGAGGCCGAATGTGTGGCTCTCACTCGCCCGTCGCACGACACACGAAAGAAGGCCTTTGTTCCTTCCCCCGGGTGTCTCTTGCTGGGTATCCCTCGTGGGTGCCGCGGTACACAAGAACATCACCGAGGGAAGGGAGGCCAGCTAGCCTCACACCACTTTTCCCCGCCAAGGTGTGGAGAGGGCAATGAAAACGCTTCACCTGTTTTCGTAACAGCAGCACATTTAAACGATCGTTTCTTCCTAGAAAAGAAAAAAAAAAATCCGACCCTCAGGGGGCGGGCGTTTGGTAGGGGAGGTTTCTAATGACTTGTTGCTTGCCTGGCTGTCTTCATTTGGGAATCCCAAGCATATTGGTCGAGTTCTGGCCCTGGGCCCACGTCCCTTGAAACTCGCTAGCCAGCAGGTGCAATTTCACCCACGTATCAGCCCTTTCCCTCCTGGTCGCCATCCTCCCCCACCCCAAACTCTATCGGTACGTACCGAGATGGCCCACAGATACACCGTTTGGGCCACTCAGACATCATTAACGCGGCTTATAGGGCGTCTCAGCCAATCAGTCGTGTGCCTGCGAGCTTCACCTCTCCCTCTTTCCCCTTCAGTCTTGGTCTTCCAACCACACCCCCCCCCCCCTGGGCATCACCACTACCTAACACCAACTAGATCAGTCACTCGCCATCCCGACCATCCGTATCCGTAACCTTACCACAAACCCAAACACGCACACGACGAACAGACAGCCGGCCAATCATATACATACCCTCGAACAACCGGCGGGACGAACATGGATCGCGGGAAACAATCAGCTGGGCTCTACTGCAGGAATCCTGATTTGTTTCTCGAATCTGTATCTGGCTTGCACTTCTCTAACGAGGGGCTTTCCCCTCCTTGGACTCCTACCCATTGAGCTCCCCGCCTAAATCGCCCCCTTTGACTTCCCCTTCCTACCAACAACTACCCTCCGGTCACCAACTCTGACGGTTAAGTTGGCCTGTTGGGTCGAGGGTCTGGGCTGGGCCCGCAGTCCGAGAGTTTGACATGTCTGAGCCAACCTTCGGCCCCGGGCCTCCACCATTTGCGCCCACATCAAGCTTCATCTGACGTTTCTGCCCTGTCAACCCAGACTGGCGGTGTGCTGCGTAACCTAACAGACGGGTCGCCGTCCGAGTCAGACCAGCCTCGTCTTTCATCACTAATCGTAATTTACCCCCCCTACAAGACAGACAAGAAACATACTACAGCCACAAAAAAGCCGCTTGGTAGAGCCGGGCCATTCCTTGAGTGGCCTCGCTATCTCACCCTCACTACTCGAGGTAATGTG